ATACACAAAACTATAAGTATTCACTGTATAGCGTCTTGCTCAATACTGACAAACAATGGCTAATTCTGGGGCTATTTATAATTTCGTAGTATCAGACGATAATTCTAGAAATTTCCAAGTTCACCAACAAGAGATATATTTTTCTTGTTAATACGGTCTGAGAATTTTGCTATCAAAAATTCTAACTTTACAAGTTTGGTTTGAGATAATAATTTATCATTTTTTCACGGAAATGCTTTTTCCGGTATATTTGGTTTCGGTGTTTGATAATTTTCCTATAAATTTTAAAGTTTCAACAATTGTGGCCTGTTATCGGCGATATATGTATTGTTTAAAATTATATTATATTTTATAAATGTATGATACAGAATGTCCTATATTATTGCAAATCAATATTCATTTTGTATATGATCTCTATGATATTTCAGGTGGGCTATATTTACACCGGTTGTTGGACGATATATGTATTGTTTAAAATTATATTTTATAAATGTATGATACAGAATGTCCTATATTATTGCAAATCAATATCCATTTTGTCTATGATCTCTATGATATTTCAGGTGGTTGGACTGGTTGTTGGGCTAGGGTGCTCCCAAAGATTTAAATCGAACCACGTGATATACGCTAAGGCCATTCTGGCTTTACGCAAAAATTCTCTTCTCTTTAAAGATTTCTACGATTTTCCATTCTTTTTTCTATGAATTTCTACAAATATCACCCTTTTAACGTTTCACTCTTCCTCTTCTTCTTCTTCAGTAGTTTTTTGTTCTTAGGCCTGTACTGCTCTCTACATAATTTCTAAGTATTATTCAATGTTTAGGCCTTTTTGGCTTCTCGTAACAATAAATTTTAAGGAGGGTGTCTATGATTTTCCATGGATTTCTTTGATTTTCTACGAATATCCGACTGTGTCCCGTTTTCAACGTTTCGCTCTCTCTCTCTTCTTCAGTGGCTTCTACATCATCTTAGGTCTTCACTGCTCTCTGTATGATTTCTTAGTATTTTTTCCTCCAAAGTTTATACCTTTTTGGTTTCCCCCTTCCTAGCATTTTGACATTTGACATTGTTTACTTACTTAGCGATAGATACGAATTTTTATGATTTTATCTTTTACCGTATATTTGTCTCCTCTTTCCGTCTTCCTGTCCTTTTATCTGTATTTTTGTCTGTCTATCTTTCCGTTTGTCTACCTAAGATCCTTTTGACCATTTTGCACCTGGTGACATGCCGCCGAGACTTAGGTCCTTTTGGCCACGAAACGAAACTTAACGAAACGTAACGAAACGTTAAGAAACGTTAAGAAACGTTAAGAAACGTTAAGAAACGTAACGAAACGTAACGAAACGTAAAACGAAACGTAACGAAACGTAACGAAACGTAACGAAACGTAACGAAACGTAACGAAACGTAACGAAACGTAACGAAACGTAACGAAACGTAACGAAACGTAACGAAACGTAACGAAACGTAACGAAACGTAACGAAACGTAACGAAACGTAACGAAACGAAACGAAACGTAACGAAACGTAACGAAACGTAACGAAACGTAACGAAACGTAACGAAACGTAACGAAACGTAACGAAACGTAACGAAACGTAACGAAACGTAACGAAACGTAACGAAACGTAACGAAACGTAACGAAACGTAACGAAACGTAACGAAACGTAACGAAACGTAACGAAACGTAACGAAACGTAACGAAACGTAACGAAACGTAACGAAACGTAACGAAACGTAACGAAACGTAACGAAACGTAACGTAACGAAACGTAACGAAACGTAACGAAACGTAACGAAACGTAACGTAACGAAACGTAACGAAACGTAACGAAACGTAACGAAACGTAACGAAACGTAACGAAACGTAACGAAACGAAACGTAACGAAACGTAACGAAACGTTAAAACATGGTGTTAGAAATATTTTTTGAGCTAGAGTGTTTGGTTAGATATCAAACTAATCTGTTTGACTTATGAATCAATAATCTGAAGTCTGTTTGTTTGTAGGTGTTTTAGATGCAAAGATACAACCTTTTTGACCTTGAAAAGACATTTGGTCAAGTAAACAAAACCTCTAGTGTATATTGTGAAGCAAATAGAATACAATGGCATCAAAATTTTTCATATAGCGTCTATAACTAAACTTCTTCCAGATCAAAATGCGATAAGAAGTTTGACGGTACCAATAAACTCATTAGTTATCTAATAACGCTTTACAACATATATTAGGTCAACCACGTGACCATTCAGCATGTAGCTCTAAAATTTCAATATGTAGTGTAGTTTAATATGCTATTCAAGGAATTGACGTTAAAACATGGTGTTAGAAATATTTTTTGAGCTAGAGTGTTTACCCACAACCCCCAGTTTTCCCTGTTTAAATCGGACCAATAGCAACAAAGATAGTCGCTAAGGTCCTTTTATCTTGTCACTGCGCATGCTTTTTCTATTCGACGTCAATCAATACTAAGTTATCTTCATAATGTCGTTTTTCTCGTTTAAATCGGACCAACGATAGCTGAGATATACGCTAAGGCCCTTTTGGCTTTTCGTTCTACGCAAAAATTCTTTTCGACGTCAATCAATACTGAGTTATCTTCATAATGCCGTTTTTCTCGTTTAAATCGGACCAACGATAGCTGAGATATACGCTAAGGTCCTTCTGTCCTGTCACTGCGCATGATTTTTCTCTTGTACGCTAATTTATACCACGCTCTCTTCATAATGCCGTTTTTCTCGTTTAAATCGGACCAACGTTAGCTGAGATATACGCTAAGGCCCTTCTGGCTTTTCGTTCTACGCAAAAATTCTTTTCGACGTCAATCAATACTGAGTTATCTTCATAATGACGTTTTTCTCGTTTAAATCGGACCACGTGATACACGCTAAGGCCCTTCTGGCTTTTCGCAAAAATTCTCTTGTACGTTAATCTATACCACGATCTCTACGTAATGCCGTTTTTCTCGTTTAAATCGGCCCACGTGATATACGCTAGGGCCCTTCTGGCTTTACGCAAAAATTCTCTTGTACGTTAATCTATACCACGATCTCTACGTAATGCCGTTTTCCCCATTTAAATCGGACCAATAGCAGTGAAGATACACGCTAAGGTCCTTTTGCCCCGCCACTGCGCATGATTTTTTCTTTTCAACTTTAATCTATATCACGCTCTCTTCATAATGCCGTTTTTCCCATTTAAATCGGACCAATAGCAGTGAAGATATACGCTAAGGTCCTTTTGTCCTGTCATTGCGCATGATTTTTTCTTTTCAACTTTATTCTATATCACGCTCTCTTCATAATGCCGTTTTTTCTATTTAAATCGGACCAATAGCAGTGAAGATATACGCTAAGGTCCTTTTGCCCTGCCACTGCGCATGATTTTTCTCTTGTATGTTATTCTATATCCCTCTCTCTACGTAATGCCGTTTTCCCCATTTAAATCGGACCAACGATAGCTGAGATATACGCTAAGGTCCTTTTGTCCTGTCATTGCGCATGATTTTTTCTTTTCAACTTTAATCTATATCACGCTCTCTTCATAATGCCGTTTTTCCCATTTAAATCGGACCAATAGCAGTGAAGATATACGCTAAGGTCCTTTTGTCCTGTCATTGCGCATGATTTTTTCTTTTCAACTTTAATCTATATCACGCTCTCTTCATAATGCCGTTTTTTTCCATTTAAATCGGACCAATAGCAGTGAAGATATACGCTAAGGCCCTTTTGGCTTTATCACTACGCAAAAATTCTATTCGACGAAATTTAATCCCCCCACTACCCCGTTTTCCCCACTCCCCCGTTGGTGGCTCGACGAGTTAGTTGAGATGGTGTGACCTTGATTTAGACAAAAATTGCTAGAATGAACCTTAGCGATTTTCCATGTTAATTTACATAAGGATTGTTCTAGAATGAACATAGCCCCTTTACTTACCTCTTCATGATATTTCCCTACTGCCACCATGACAGTGTCAACTGCAAAGATAGCTACTGTATTATTTTCTTATTCCGGAATATCACTGGTATATAGTAGATACAGGACAGGTGCTAATACTTACACTTCCTTGTGGTATTTCTGCTTTGATTTCTTTTAATTTCGAGTAAACTTCTTTCTGCTTATTCTAAGTGCTCTATGTGTAATGTATGAATCCCAATAATTGTGTATATTGTCTGGGTAATGAAATGTTTAATTTATGTTTAAGTCCCTCCGTGCCATACTTTGATACATTACTACGCCACGTCTAAGTAGAGCACACTTTTTTCTTCTAATGAATTGGGTTAATGGTCCAATATTTCTCTCTAGAGCCAAACTGATGTGCCGGAATTGTTTTTTTTTCTTCTATGGTGGGCTTTAATTTCTTCATTTAATGGTTTGCCTGGTTTATGTGTCATATTATTATCTCGGCCACTTTCCATATCTTTTTTTCGAGTAACATTTTCTTTTATTTCTTCTTTTGGAGTTGTGAGTCTGATTTCATCCTCTTCTTGAATAAGATTTTTCCATACAAATATATTAACGTTTTTATTTGGTTGAAATGCCCTTTCAAGATATTCAACAAATCTACTATTGGCTTTTTATAGATTACTTTTTGCCCATCTGTTTCGAATTAACGTATTTTGCAGAATCGGTCTTTTCAATATTTTACTGGCTTTCCAAATCATTTATATGTTCAACACAATTTTTTGCTATCCGCTGTTAAAATTTAATGTATTTTTTATCGTACGGTTCTCTAGATTCATTCAAAAGCAAATTTTGAGCATATATATTTTGCAGCTTTTTAAACTATGTGTCAAATAAATGTGACTTTGTTTATGCCTGCATTAATAGATATAATTCCTAATACCAAATTTTGTATGAATTTCGGACATTACTGAATGCTTCCTCGAACGATATACAAACTCTCGGTCCAGAAACTTTCGGGTTCATATAGGCTTGTCGCTAGAGCATAAACGTCTACCTAAATACCCTTGATTCATGAATGACTGTTATTACAGAAACTTCCTACATTACTGTCTTCAGATGATGAAAGAGAAATTCTAGCATTGATGTGCAGAGTTCATGAATTAGAAGCAGACAAAATGGCATTACAATCGGAGAGGCTTGTTCGACAACACGAACTTAGAAGAAGAGACTTGCTTATTTTGAGATATGATAGGCAAAGACAACTATGTGAGGAAATTATAACTAGGCAGAGACAAATTATGGAAGGTAAGGTTTTTTAAATGGTTAACGAAAATCAAAATCAAAATCACAATGAAAGTACCTAGATAATAAGGTACTTCACGGCACAATAACCTTGGTTGTTGCTCCTAGCGCTCATCACAAGAGGTTATTACCAAACTTCTTCACCTCTGCTGCTAAATTATCAAATCTTACGCACCACTTTATGGTTACTTATGGGATAATTACTTTGTTTTTGCCTTCGAAAATCGACGGTTACAAATAATTACATACAAATGTATTTAGTATACCTTATAGCAATAATATATAAGTTGTATACAGACTCAGCTTAATTCACAAATATCTATACCAAACAAAGCATTTTTAAATTTTTATTTACATGTAAAGCCCTAAAGATAGAAACGTCAACATTATTTCAGAAAAAAAATAGAGTTCTAGGTACGATGGCCTGATTTTTCAATTACATTTTGAATCGTAACTATGATTAGTAAAATTCAAACAAATATGAGGTTAAATAATTGTTAATATTTTTCTGGAAAACATTTATGAAATTTAATAGAAAGACGTGTAAAGAATGGCAGTTTACCGAGATTACCCAAAATCTATTAGACATTCATGGCATTTCCATTTTTAAGGACTTACATGTAACTAAATTTAAAGATGTGATTTATGCGTTTCTTCACTCAGAATTTCTTATTTTTCTCTTATCTGCCTAGCGCCGTCCCTGTATTTATATAAAAATATATTGTAAGTATTAAATATTTATTTTTATATATTAATTTTTTTTAGAGAAAAAAATGGTTTTGCCCCAAGACTTACAAGATTTATATCAACTTTACCAACAAGAAATACATGCTGCAACTTACACAGATTTCGGAGTACCTCAAACAGCATCGACACTGACACCCGACGTATTACCACCTATAGGAAAAATGTGAGTAGCTATGGTAGACAATGTGGATTGCAGAGTTTATACCATCAAACTAGAGCTAAGAATCAAATTAGTTTAAATTATATAGAGTTAAGATTAAGAACATACAGGGATTTCATTTCAAAACTAGCCACCCAAAATAACTTTTAAAATATCTTTAAAACAAAAAAAACACGTTAATTTATATTTACGGGGGGGACATTTTACAAGTATCTGTAACCGTGCAGTTTCATCCCCTAAGCGGTGGTGAATATCACTTCTAAAATTTTAAATAGAAAGGGGTATCATGTGATAGCTCTTCTTAAAGGTCTCTTTTTTTCCAATCTTTTGCCCCCTTTTATTTTGTAAATCGGATTAATTTTTCACCAAGTTATAACCTGGAAACCGGAAAAAATTAAAAATATTGAATTAAAATGCATGAGTATAAATACCGAGATAAATAAGTTAGCAAAAAGCAAAAAATGTTTGTTGCGTAAGATATTTTTGACCGTAAATTAAAACAATTTATTATTAGTAAATTATTGGTTTCGTTGTGTACTGACAATTTAATTTTGACAATGGTTTATTCTTTACAAGAAAGAATTGAAATAATCTTTATTTATGGTGAAGAACAACGCTGTGCACGCAGAACTGCTCGTGTTTTTAATCAGAGACATCCCGATAAAAATGTTGGGCATCAGTATGTGTTGGATTTAGTTCATAAATTTCAAGAAACTGGAAGTGGGTGCAATAAAACTGTAAGGAATCGTAGAGTTTTAACTGAAGCTGCACAAGTTGAGATTTTAGGTCATTTTGCCATGGAACCTCAAACATCAATACCAAAAGTCTCCAGATTAACAAATATTTCCGTTGGCTCTGTGCATAAAACGTTATGGCTAAATAAATTCTTTCCTTACAAAATACAGCTTTTACAACAGCTTGCTGAGGATGATTATGACAGAAGATTAGAATTTTGCGAATTAATGACTCAAAGGGCAAATGAAGACCATAATTTTATTAAAAATATTTGTTTTACTGACGAGGCAGGTTTCTTTTTAAATGGATTTGTCAATAAACATAATTGTAGGTACTGGGACAATACAAATCCACATGTTTTTCGGGAAGAGCACAGCCAATATCCTCAGAAAATCAACGTATGGGCCGGAATTCTTGGTAATAAAATTATTGGTCCTATTTTCATGGAGGAAAATTTAACTGGGGAATTATATTTGAACTTATTAGAAAATCTGATAAATCCTCTTATAACCGAATCCTTAGAAAACCAAATAGATCAAGATGGAAATTTGTTACTAGACGAAGAAAACCTATTTTTTCAACAGGACGGAGCACCTCCACATTATGCTTTGTCTGTACGAAATTGGCTTAATGAGACATTTCCAGATAAATGGATCGGAAGAAGGGGCGCTATAGAATGGCCAGCGAGATCAACCGACCTAACGCCCCTTGACTTTTTTTTATGGGGACATCTAAAAACTGTGGTGTATAAAACTCAACCTCGCGATATTCCTGAACTTAGACGTAGAATAGTGGAGGAGTGTGAGCGGATTACACCAGAGACGCTTCAAAAAGTGCGGGATGAATTCGAGCTGTGACTTTACCATTGCCTTGCCAACAATGGCGGACATTTTGAACATCTTATTTAAGTACAATGTAATTCTTACGCAAATAAAATATTAATAATGTAAATACAATGTAAATAATAATTATTTTAATTTAAAAGGTTAAAATGGCATAACTTGGTGAAAAATTAATCCGATTTAAAAAAATAATGTGTCAAAAGATTGGAAAAGAAGAGACTTTTATGAAGAGCTATCAGATGATACCCCTTTCTATTTAAAATTTTAGAAGTGATATTCACCACCGCTTAGGGGATGAAACTGCACGGTTACAGATACTTGTAAAATGTGTCTCCCCGTAAATATAAATTAACGTGTTTTTTTTTTTTTGTTTTAAAGATATTTTAAAAGTTATTTTGGGTGGCTGGCTAGTTTTGAAATGAAATCCCTGTATGTAAAGAAAATCGTGCATTTTTATTTTTTGAAATATGTCTATAAAAGTATTTTTTTACACCCACATGGATATTAGCTTATCTACGCACAGATTACAAAACTAAAAAGTATGCTATTGCCTTCAACTGAACGAATATATTTCATATCCATTCTAGGTAGTGATAACACTGCAAAAAATGAAATCCACCAATCACAGTTCATATTTTGATCAACCGACTGCTATTATTTTTTAAATTTTAAATAAGTGACAATTCTTACAGGGTTGCCTTAATGTTGCCATATCATAACCTGTCAAAATCTACAACAAGGGTGAGCGGAAAAATTATCGAAAGTCAAAAGGTCTAAGGGAGAATTGATCGACTCGAATTGATCGAAATTATAAATATTCGAAAGTACAAATGATCGAAAATATAATTAGTTGAAAATTCAATTGGTCGAAAGTTCAAATGATCGAAAATACAATTGGTCGAACCTAAAAAAGATCAAAAAGTACAAAAGTAAAGAACAATCATTCAGACACAGAAAAGTATACAAATAACGAGAAAAAATGAAAAAAAAACTAATTTAAGTAACCTGTGCGATATGGAGCCTTCGTAGGTTACCTTTCAAAAAATTATACACGAAATGAGAAAAATAAAAAACAACTGATTTACCTAACCTGTGCGACCTGGAGCTGGTTGGACTTTTACTGGTTAGCTAATTTAGTTAAGTTTTTTATTAATAATTTTATAACAATTTTTGCGAAATAACCCGCGATAACTTTAAATCGTACATGTTGAGTAAATTAGTAAAAACGCCGCTGTTTTAATCAATCTTTAGTTTGTTTGACTGCTATTTCGATATGCTGCGCTATTTTAGTAAACGCTAATTTACTAATTTCGTAATTTAATGTTTCCGATCTTATACTATTTCGATCATACATATTTTCGATTCCATCATTTGAACTTTCGATGATTTGAACTTTCGATCATATCTGATTTCGATCATATGCGATTTCGGTCATTTGGATCATATGCGATTTCGATCATTTGGATCATATGCGATTTCGATCATTTGTTGTACTTTCGATCTTTTTGGTTTCGATCTTTTGTCACTTTCGACCTTTTGACTTTCGATCATTTTTCCGCTCACCGTATAAACTCTAGATGACTAAGCTAATTCTTGTTACTATCTATATATTTATATATTTGTAGACGGATTCCAACCACTGATTTAAGTAGTAGCGATGTAAGTGGCATTTCACCTCCATCATCTGCTGAATCAGGTGATTCGAGTGTGGACCGTGTTATGGGTCATCCAATTTCCAGACATGGATTTAGTAAATTACCCCCGCTTCCTCCAAGTCCGCCAGTCAGATCAAAGAAAACAGGATCTAGGTAAACATTTTAAGACATTTTTATAAGATCGCTAGTGGCATTTTTTAAACAGACTGGATTTTAATCAGAATTTCTATTTATTTTAGTTCATTGAGAAGAACAATCAGCGACATGCATCTTAGTGGTTCAGAAGAAGGAACAACGTAATTAACAAGAACTTTTCGATACATTTGTGAATATTCCTATATTTTAATATTGTATAATAAAATGTGTGAATACGTAAATTTATTTTATTAACCTTTCAGAATATTTTATTTCGAGTAAATATGGTAAGACTATTGGTACTAATAATAAAAAAAGGCATTATTCGAAACTCGAGACCATTAAATCTAAAAAAAAAAATTATAATATAGGGGAGATATGTCTAAAAGATGGCATAAATTTTTTTGTTGATGAAATATCTGTAACAAATAATGAAAAAGTGTGATTTGAATTTCTGGAGGACCCAATGCCCAATTAATAAAAATATTATAAAACATAGCAAAAAGAACATTTATTATATAAGGAATAAATGTAAAAACTAAAACATAGTCGCTATGCCATCTGGTCCATAACTATCGACACCAGAGAGCATACTCATAAAAATAGAGAGAGCTTTTAACAAACTATATATAGGTATAAAAAATACCGAATTAAGAACAAATGTCACACACAAATGTTTTAGATTTTGGATTGAGATCTGCATATTCTGCGTGGACCCACTTTAGCACTTAAACCACAGTTCTTTTGATTGTGACCAGTGATAAAGCTTATTGCAATATATGCAAGAAATATCTATCATGATGTTTTTGACATTAAGAGGTGCTTGGAGCTACATTCATTAACGTCGTTATTAGTCTTCGGCAGATGTAATACATTTTTTTAGGATCTTTTAAGGTTTTAGTAATTGTCTCTACCTTATTATTCATAAAATGGACATAATTTGGCTCTGACTGCGTTATCACATTAGTTATTGTCATTGTGAGCTGATTTAGTATCCTCGATGGCAGGAGCTGTCAATTATGTTACTGTCGATAACACGAATATATATTCTTCAAAAACATCGGAATTGAATGGAAAAAATCTGGTAGCAGGGAATTTTTAAACTGGCTACCTTGATGTCTGCGTTGTTGAATAGATAGGCTACCTACTAATGAGTTATAACTCTGCCAGGATGACCACCATGCCACCTTAGCTTACTAATGATATGCCATCTCAAAAAAAAAATACAGAACACGTGCTTTTTGTGTATAAAAAATTATACCATAAACTAGAATGAAGATATATAATACTTTGCATTCGATGAGTATATTATACTCTTCACAGTTTAACAGACCCCCAATGTTTAATCAGATTTTTTCAGAATCAATAATGGAGAAACATCAATTTAGCTATACACTCTACCGCTTATACTCGTTAATAATGCCAAAACAGAAATTATAAGAAGTAATTATTTTTTATTTTTGGATTAACCACCAATCCATAGAATAGACGTTCAATGCAGAAAAGGTAATTAGGGCTACAGCTAAAACCGTAGCCACTGTAGCCACGCCTTATTGTACAAAGTATAATAAAAATAAAGTAGTTTTCGCAGTGTAATTTCAATGAATAGTTCGTGTGCATTAGTTTTCTCAGAATTATGAAGCTAAACGAAGATTAAAATGACATTGTTAATGTAAAAATGTTATTTTAATGTTTGTTTAGTAATTTAAACATCGGACCTTACATATGTTTACTTCCTTTTTTTTAATATAATTTGTAACTAACAAGTATTAGAAATTAAAAATTTAAAAAAACCGACTTCAAAAACGTGCAGATGCCATCATCACATCTTAACCAAATTTATATAAGACCACCCCTGAGGTACCCCCTTACTTACAAAAAAAGAATCATATAAATCGGACAAGGTGGTAAAGCATTATCGCTAAACATACATAAAAAATGAAGAGTTTGAGGATTTTCTCATGAACCCAATTATTAGATTTTGACCAAATTTATATGGGACAACCCCTGAAGTAGCCCCTTTCTAACAAAAAAAGAATCATTGAAATCGGAAATCGTGTTAAAGAATTATCGCTGAACATACATACATAAAAAAAAATATCGCGACGAATTGATAACCTCCTCCTTTTTTAAAGTCGGTTAAAAATTGAATCTATTGTATTTCATTCTATCAGCGGAAGTTTTAAATCTTATTAACTATTAGAATCATATCTAATAACAAAGTGTCTCGGTGGTCGAGAGCGTATAGCGGCTGAAGGCGTTGAATTTTAATGGGCGTGTCGTGAGTTCGATTCCCGTTTTTTAATTTATTAAAAAACTAGAATGAAGATATATTGCTTGGCATTCTATATTATACTCTTTACAGATTTTTTTTTAGAATCAGTCAATTTGAGTCAATATCCTTTGACTCCTTATAGACCTTGATTTTTACTAAAAAATTTCAAGTTCATATCATTTTTCTGTTTTGAGTTTATAGGCTTTTTCAACCCCCTTTATCCCCCATTTTATTGATTTTTTTTTCAAAATCTGTAGGATTCGCCACTCATATAGAGCTTGATTTTTGTTAAAAATTTCCAGTTGATATAATTTTCTGTTTTTTGAGTTAGGAATTTTTTTAATGTTTCAACCTTCCTTAACCTCCCATTTTTATTCAGATTTTTCAAAATCAATAGGCTTCGTCCTCTTATAGAGCTTGATTTTTCCTGAGATTTTCAAATTCATATTGTTTTTCGTCTTTAACTTATCGTGCGAACCAAAAAGGTGACCGGACGCACGGACGAAGCGAATGCATAGGCTATGGTTATAATGGATGCGTGTTCTGACTAACCTGCGTTCTGACGAAAATGTCAGAATTTTTGTTCAGATCAACAGTGGTTATTTTGCATGCACATTCTGAAGAACTGATTGTAAGTTTCACCAGTTTTGTTGCGATATATCCATGATGAATAACATGGACGATTTTCTGTTTTTAGAAAGTCTTTTAATACAAATTTGACATTTTTAATTAACTAAACTTAAATTCCTATTGAATAATGTACAATACCAATTTATGTAGTATAGAATATGTGTATAGATATTGTATTTAATTCCTGCACAATCTTTTCCCATTTTGTCGAGATTGATCTCTATTATCGTAACTTTTATCATTCATGTGCTGTAAACCAATTAATTTTTCTACATCCATGTTTGAAATTCACATTTCGCATTTAAATTCGTCCGAAAAAACAAACTGATTTGAAAAATCTCTTATTCTGACGACTTCGTGCGGGTTCTGAAGAACAATTCGTTCGTAATATAACCACATCTCTTTATTGCTGTGTATTTGATTTTTTCGTGCATGTTCTGACAAGTTCGTCCGAACGCCAGTTCGTCAGAACACGCATCCACTATAACCATAGCCTTATACTCTTCACAGACTACTATGTGAAGAGTATAATAATAATGGTGTTGTAACGCTACAACTTCATGTGATTTAACGTTTATTTACTTACTTTAGTGATTATTGTATTGTAAAAAAAATGTTTTTTGAGTAAATAAACTATATTAATATTGGTAGATTAACGAAATTAATAAAAAAATTATTAATAATCTAAAATAGTATGTGGCGAGTTGCGGTTGTGTAAAAAAGTGAAAATATAATATGGTGGTGATCGCAAGTAATACAATTGGATTATAATCTATAAAGAGAAATTTTTTGAATGTCTACTATCCTATTAAAAATGTTCTTTGGGCGTTCATTGGTCATTGTTCAACGATCCTTGCGTGAATGTGTAATGTCCGAATATAATCCAGAAAGGAACGTCCTCTGTATGGCCAAAAGTGGGCCATTTGTATACTCTAATGGATATCGGAGTTCAGAAAAACAAATTTTTTTGGTCTTCCAGACATCCAAAAATATATATCGAATGGACTTCCAATGGACATATTATTTGAACTGTCTGAGTTTAAAGATAAATCGTAATAATTCCCCTACAAGTAAATCACTGAAAACAGTTTTGTACGGGACAAAGATGACTATTATTTAAATGATTTATGGTTCTTTTTGATTTAGAGGTAAGGAAAACCTAATTTAACATCGTCGATACGATAGACCACCGGGGGTGAGATTTGAATGTAATATAAATAGAAATTATTATACTGCTAATTAATATGCTATTTAAAGAATAATTCATATGTTTTAATGCTTAGAATTTGAACGACTGTCGTATTCAACCATTGAATAATTGGTGCTAGACGTACTCCGCTGTCGAACCTACGATAAAACAATTCTATTAAAATTCACGATATATTAGTACAAGACTTCAATTGAAATCGGACTTCCCTTTTCCCGAATTAAATATATATTTTATGCAATATGTAGTGGGGGGGTGGGTGGCTCAGTGGTAGAGTCTCTGCCTGTGGATCCAAGGGTCCCAGGTTCGAATCCCTCCGTTGGCCGGGATTTTTTTAATTAATTTAATTAATTAAAATTAATTCTGATGCCTTGGTAGGATTCCCCACTCGACCATTCACTGTTGGGTTCTAATTAACAGTGCTGTTTCTAAAGTGGCGCTGGGAAACAGTAACAAAGCCTACACAGAACACGAAGCGAAATAACCTTAGCAGTTGAAGCCGATGACACACACAAAAAAAAATATATGTAGTGTATAAATAAACAGCGTGTAAAGGTTGGCGCTTCATATGCTATTTTTAATTAAAATTGTTTAATCAAATTTTTATCGATAGTTATATATTATACACGGGTTACGATAATGATTTTTCTGAAAAAAATTAATACCTATCAATCGAGGCTAAAAGATGTAAATAAAACGCCAAATTAGGGTTAGCTACCTTTTTATTGACCGTAATATCGGATTGGCAGGTAATAAACATATGCTATTATAAGTAATTTACCCTCATCAAAAGCTCACATTTTTCAGCGGGCCGAAACCGAAACTCGAACCAAAATTAATCAATTAACAAAAACTCTCTGGGGTAGATGCATAGATAATAAGGGTAGATGATCTTTGTCGGTCGAATATATTAACACCCTGTATCTAATAAGTATAATGTTATATTTTCTTTTTTTGCAACAAACTCTGTTCCTATAGGGACCGTGCGTGAAATATAGAGGCAGCACTACTGCCGAACTTAGCCCTCTCTAGTGTTTAATTTTAGAATTAAATGGGGTAAACATTGCAAGTAAATAATAAAGGGTATTTTTTTAAATATTAAATATAGTTAAAAATAGATACCGGCCCGTACCAAACAATCGTGTACATGGTCAAAATGACGTAAAATGTGAAACATTATTAAAATCTGGACATGCATATACATTTTAAGCAAAAAAATTTAAATGGCTAAGTGACAATAAATTGTAAAGTTGTACCTTAAACAAGTGTATCCAATGTTAAAATATCGGTATTTAGTAACACTGAATTTAAAAGTATTACAATAACATTTAAAAAATGTAAATTAATAAAAAAAATTGATAATAATAATTATAAATCTTTTTAGCTTTATGTTAATCGAAATGTCATTCATCCACTGGCGTTTATGAGATGTTCAATGATACATATATTATAGATTGCTCACCCAACTATAAAAAAATTATGAAAAGCGGGTTGCAATGTGCCTTTCCTAGTGCTCACTAAATAGAGCCGTTCTAGCCCAAATGTGTTTTAAAATAAAATTTCAGCATTTTAATCTTTAGAAAAAGAAAATAATTAAAGTTTTACTTCAAGACATGTCATTATATGTATTTGGAAAGTTGAGTTTTCATGTAGTTAAATAATATTAAGAGATCTAAACAATTTTTATAACAGATGAATATAAATAATTTTAGACTACTACTTCAGAAACAATTCTACATAAAATACATAATTGCAATATGTAATACAATTTTGAAAAGGTAATGTAAACAATTTTGATATGAGGTATAAACAACTTTGGTAAGAGTTGTAATTGGACACTTATCTATTATTCTGAATAATGTTTAATGGTAATGTCACTAAAAAAAATTACAAAAAATCACTGGATTTTTAATATTTTAAAGTTTGTTACAATCTCTTTTGACAGTAATTGCAATGTATTATTTATGATTTGTTTATTTTAATAATAAATGAGAAATAGTTAATAAATTGTAAAGAGGGCCGTGATATTTTTGTCAAATTGGTCATTCTTATTTCATAACATTCTACATTAGTTTTAATCAACAGAATAAACCATTATCTGTAAAATTATATTTATATAAAATGTTCATTTAAATATGTAAAAATCTTAATGACAAGAAAACACTAAAGATCCTAATTTCTAAACCGGTTCTGTAAATGATTTCTTTACAACTAAGTGCTCAAAATTGATACAAGCTAGATAAAAAGAAAACTTTGCCCAGTGAAATACGCTTTTCGTCGTCTGATTTACATATGGATAAGCAATCTTTGTAATTATGTATATCATTGGGTGTGAGGCATAATAATTTTGCTCTGTGGAAATTTATAAAATTTCTTTACTATCGAATGAAATCCAGGTTTCTAAAGTGATGTGTTTGTACATCCACGGATGCAACAAGTTTTTTCGATATTGATATTACGAAAATAATTCGACTTCATTTTATTAATAATTATTAAACAATAAATGCCGTATAAAACATTAATAAATACCCCCCAAAAAGTTCACATTTTTGTCACCAGTTAGCGTTAAAGTCATGACGCACGGTCCCTATAGAATGTAGTGTTTTTAAAAAATTTGCGATTCAGTGTCTGAGATGTGGGATTAAAATTTAAAATTTTGTTTTTAAACCAATAAAATTGATCTAATTTTAATTCAAATTTTACTACCCATTTAAAAATGTAATCAATGGTATGGAAAATGTCAAGGAAAATGTGTACCGAAAAAAACCGTTCCGACTGAAAATTAGGTCAGAACGGAATCGAAATATTTTTTAAACATAAATAGAACAGAAGTAAAAGTTGGAAATGCTTTTGCCAGTTCTCCCACTTTATACACATAAATTGACAGGTTGGCACCGGATCTCACCGAAGTGGACGCGATACATTGGCGTACAAAATTATTTTATAGATTTTAATAACAATTTCGAGTAAATAGTTTAATAAATTGTGAATAGCTGTTGAAATTTTGTAAAATTATAATTTGAATATTATAATACATGTTTAATAATTATTTATAATCCATAAATACATGCGATTGTCCGGTTCCGCCGATAACAATTTAAAATTACTTATTCTATGAAACGACACTGGCAGGTAAACATTACTGTGAAATTCTCGGAGCCGCCCGACGTGGTTTGACGTTTACCCCCTCTCTACCTACCAAAAGACTTTTCAACTTTTACTTTTATACCTACTGAATCAGACCCAATTTTTTTAGTTTGAAACCCAAACCGAACCAAAACCGTTAATTTAATTTAGGTCCGGGGCGCAGTTTTCTTTAACAAGTTAAAAATTAATAACTAGTTCATTGTCTTAATAAATAAATGGCTAAAAAAAATAAGAAGAAATTTTGACGTCTATGAAATGTCAGTGTCAATGTCATTCGAAGGAAGAAAAAACATAACCTGAAGAGCAGTGTTATTGTGTAAATAAAAAATTGTATTCGCTTGAATCTAAAGAAAAACTCAAAATTGTTGTATAAAATGATTGATTTCAACTAATTTATAATGGCCACTATAAAACCTGGAAGTCAAAATACTCGTAAAAAAGTTCAAGTAGGTCAAAAATTTTAAATGTTTGCAGTTTGATGTTTTTGTTCAACTTTTCAAAAACTTATTTTTTGTAGGTTTCAATGGTAATATGCGAAGCCGAAGAAAAAAGACATAGATCAGGGGTAAATGCCTTGCAGCTAGATCCAGCATTAGACCGTTTATACTCTGCTGGCAGAGATTCAATTATAAGGGTCTATGAACATGAGAGGTTTCTTCATGGAATGGAACACCATACTGACTGGGTCAATGATATTGTGTTATGCTGTGGTGGAAGACATTGTAAATACATTTTAAATTACTTGTTTTATTAAATATATTATCTAAATTTAAAGATAAATTAATACAGTTCAAAAAACTTAAGAGGTTACATACAAAGGAAATTGTAGGAAAAGATAGAATTAATTCTGAATTATTTTTTTCAGGATTTTTTAATATCAATTAAAAGAATTTAAAAATATAGTTTTATAATTTTTTATTGAAAAGTATTAAAAATAAGTATTGGGCCAGAGTTGGTAACCAAAATAATGTAATTAATTAATCCAAAAAGTATTTATTATCGATTTAAAAATAGATAAATTATTAATTCAATTACTTATTGTTGGTGTTTCTTTTGATTTAATGATAATATTAAGTTTTTGCAATAGGTATTTAAAGCTACTTTTGAAAGTATGGATTACCACATTCTGGGAGTACATACTAACATACTGTATTCAAACTTTATATACAATAATTATTTAAAATTATTTTCTAAATCAAAAAATAGGTTGTGTTACAATATATTTTTAATTTTAGTGATTTCTGCAAGTTCAGATACCACAGTAAAAGTATGGAATGCTCATAAAGGATTTTGTATGTCCACCCTAAGAACACATAAAGATTATGTGAAAGCATTAGCTTATGCAAAAGATAGAGAACAAGTGGCTTCCGCAGGTTTAGATAAATCTATTTATCTATGGGATATTAATACTTTAACAGCTCTTACAGCTAGCAATAATACTGTAACTAGTAAGTAGTTAAAAATTTGAAAATTTAAATGTTTTACTATTTAGCACTATTATAATAATAATTTTTGTAATTTTTAGCTTCTAGTTTGATGGGTAGCAAAGAGTCAATTTATAGTTTAGCGATGAATCCATCAGGAAGCATAATAGTAAGTGGCTCAACAGAGAAAGCTCTAAGGCTTTGGGATCCTAGAACTTGTGCCAAATTGTTAAAACTAAAAGGTAATATAAATAAAGTTGTACCAAAAAAATCCTAAATGCTCTTAAAATACTGAAATTAAAATAATGTACTTTATATAGTTAGCTTTTCCATTGTATAATATTTTCTTCTTTATTAAGACTATTTTTAATAAGAAAAAAGCAATAGGAATCTGTTTTCTTTTAATTTTTTATTATTATTTAGCCCATAAAGGGATAAAAACTCTTGGACAATAAAGTAACTATAATTATTAGATATTCCAAGAAAAAGTATTGTGTTGAATATGACAAGAATTTACAATTTCAGCTGATCAGTGATTTTTCAAATTTTTTAAAATAAGTATGGAAATAGAAATACTTTATTCTCAGTAATATCTATTATGGTAGTCAGTACTTAGGCCCTTAAATTGTTACATCCACATAGAATACTGGTCAAATTCACCACATTTTACAAACTTAAAGTGTACAATAATAAAAACATTAGGTGACATGTTTCACTTAGGTACATAATAATCGTTAATGTTACATAGACACGACATGTCCAGTAATATATTTTTAATTTGATGTTTAAACTTTTTCCTGGTAGATTACAGATGTTGGGTGGAAGTGCATTATATAAGGAAATGCCTATTGTTTAGGACTTGTTTATTTTATTCTAGTTCTTGTTTGGATTAGCTGATCTTTCCCTCTGGTATTCTATGTATGATTGTCAGAGTGACATGAAATTTCTCAATTTGCTAGCAAGTTTTCAAATATGTGTGAAAACGGGGTCAATATTATTATTTAAGAGTTCAGGCAAGAGGCATAGTCGATGAAGCTGAACTTAAGCTATCTATATCTATCACAATTAGTTATAATTATCACAATGTGCAGTACCGTACATTTTTCTGAGTTCAGTGGTAGTAGCCACTGCTGTGACCAATTATTGACTATCTAAATCATCACTTCTCATGGTTATGATATTTTGAAGTGGGTTACAATATATTTTTGTTTCAGTTAGAATTAAGAGATTTAACTAGGTCACTGGTATACAAAACAAACAACAGTGGTCCTAAAATTGTTCCTTGAGGAACTCCACTGTTTACCAGATAATGTGTTGATAACTCCGCATTAATACGTTCACAGAAATCTTTATTTGTTAGGAAGTTTTCAATACCAAAATACTCTAATTTAGCAATCTCCTGTGGGCACTTTGTCAATGGCTTTTTTTATAGTCCAGGTAAATTATATTTACAGGTTGGTTATTTATTATCTTTCAAAGTTAACCACTGATTATGTTGAGGATATTTGTTGTAACAGATCTATTCGGTATGAAGCCATGTTGATTATCTGGACTGTTTTTGTGTTGTAATGTAAACTCTGTAATGTCTTTCTTAACTATTTTGTCTATTATTTTACAGATGCAACTTGTGAGGCTTACCGGGCCATAATTGATCACACTGTGTTTGTTTCCTTTTTGTAAATGGGTGTAACAATAGCATGCTTCCAATTCTGAGGTAACAGATGCTCATATTGTTCATTCATGTATTTGTTCATTAAGTTTGCTAATATACTTCTAATGTTACTTGCACAGTTTTTGAGGACTATTGGAGGAATTTCAATTCCTGGGCAAGCATCTTGTTTAAGGTTTTTAATAGCATTTTTAATTTTTTTGTGCTGTTAAATGGACTGTTTCAACGGACATAACCTGAGGTAGTCGTATATTTGGCTCTGCAGTATATCATTGCCTAAGTTGTTTGAATAATGATTCACATGGTTCATTATAGTTTACTCATAGAATAAAGGGAACTGCTAATGTTTGTGAGTTAAAAATTCTTTGTAGAGAAGGGGCTAGCATATTCTATATGTTAGATTGGAATGAGCCATGATAAGCAGTTATTGCTGCTTCTATATTCACTATATTTTGCTAACTTGTTGCATAAGTTATTTATTTGGCAGTTCCATGTGATTTGCGTGTTAAAATATATGCAGAGAAATTTAATGTTCATTGTTTCACTAGTTGTTTGGTTTAACCTAAAGATACGTATTTCAGTTTTGTTGCGATTTAAAAATAATTCGTTGCTATCAGCTTCAGTCAAAATCTTACAGTTTATGATAACTATGTCAGATTTGTTGTGGTGATTGGAAAAATCGGTATCATCTGAGTACATGGTAGTAATTCGATATTATTTGAATTTATATATGAAATGGATACTATCATTTTCTTATATAAGTATACAATTAAATGCTTTTTTTTATAAACAATAATGCACAAAGCACCAGGTCATAAATACATTATAGTAATATTTGTGTTCATATACTTTCTCTAGTACTAGATTTGTTTTATTAAATTATGTATATTTTCAGGCCATCAAGACAATGTAAAGGCTTTAGTTGTTTCAAGAGATGGAACTCAATGTGTGTCAGGTAGTAGTGATGGGTCAATTAGATTGTGGAATTTAGGATCCCAGAGGTATGTTTTTAATTATCATTTTTATCTTTTTCCATCACCGATTTTATTTTCTATTTAATTGCTTTTTTGATTTTTTTTTAGATGTGTGCAGACAATCCTAGTTCATACTGATTCTGTATGGGCTTTATTAGCAACAGAAAGTTTCAGTCATGTTATATCTGGAGGAAGAGATAAAAAGGTATAGTAATGATAGAATTATTTTATTTTTGTCAATATTATGGATTTTTTGCAAACTGCTGATATTAAATACAGATTATTTTTGTTTGACTTTTAATGCCAAAAAAATACATTATTTCTAGTTAAAATAAAGATTTAGTTTGATACTATTTTGTATAAAACAAGTTAACATAATATGGAATGATGTGAGATTATTATATTTTTTGTTGTATTATGAGCACAAATTATTGATAGGTATCAAATTATATTTTAGGTGATAATGACAGACTTAAAAAATACCACTCACAGTATTACAGTTTGTGTAGAAGATGCTCCAATTTTAAAAATGTGTTTTACTGCTGACCATCTAGCTGTGTGGGTAAGTTTCTGGTAAAAATAATATACATCATTGAACTTATCATATATTTCTGTTATATGGTTATATACTTCATTTCTTTACATAATTTATTTTTGTTAACAGAGGAAGTGTAGCTATTTATCTTCTATTCAATAACATCAATCAGATTTTCAAGATTTTGATTAATTCAATGAATATTTTTTATTTTAACATTCTTATTTATATACTATTTTTAATTCTAATGGAGCATTGGTAGATGCAAGTAGTTATAAGTTTCGTAAATTATTTTTGTTTTTGTACTTATACTCGTATATATTTTTTATTTCTTTCCTCTTTTATATTAACTTTATTGGGAGCATTGGTAAATGCATTTAGTTGTAGTTTCATTTTTCTTAGGAGAACATGTAACGAGGTTATAAAACCTGTTTGTTTTCTGTTAAATAAATAAACAAACATTTTTGTTAGAAAATCAAAGAAAATGATTTTTTTTTACTTTTTTAGGTTTCTACTTCCGATTCTAGTATTAGATGTTGGAAATTACCAACAGACAAACATTTTAAAGAAGATCTTCGGATGCCAACAACTCCTATATCTTTAATACCTGGTGGTGCTGCTATTAGACAAGCAGTTGTTCTAAATGATAAAAGACACATTTTAACTAAAGATGCTCACGATAATGTGGCTATTTATGATGTCCTTAGGGTAAGTAAATTAAAATCACATGGAATTACCAGTATATCATCAATCAGTTCTTATCATCGATCCTACTTTCATACAAAAGAAAGTTTAGAAGCACCTTATAATAGTTTCAATAAAGATTTAAGGAGTATAAGACTTATTTACAGTTTATCTAAATATTTATGTATTCTTAAATATTTTTTATATTAGGGTTAAAATTATACTTAAAAAATAAAAGACTCAACATTGTTGGCGTAAATAACATTCAACATCATGCACCTCAATTAAAAAGGTAAAATGTCCTTCATAAGTTACGATTATAGAGAGTGTCCCACTTGAAATGAACTACTTGATAATTTCCAACGATGAACAACTACTAGACCAATTATGTTTATTAAAATCGAATCGCAAGCATTCACAATGTTATCCACGTAGTTGCCAAATTATTATGAGAGAGTCTTATTAAGAGATAACAGGAGAAGTAGCTATTCATTATTAAAATATAACATCCATGCTATCAATATCAATTCGACAGTCAATACTCTCCAGTTGTAGGTCCGAAGTGAAGATACGTGTGGTGAGAGGTAAGAGAGGGGATAAACAGAAGGATTGTGTATGGTTATAATTCGGAATTTAAGGCTCTAAATGCGTCGGCCAGAAGGGTTATGGTCGGTATTTCAAAATATTACATTAAGGAAGTATAATTATATTTTTATTATCTGTTTAATGTCTTTTTCGGGTTACAACTCTATTATTGTAGCTGAAAGTATTTTACAGAAAAGTCACAATTTATTTTTCAGTGTGGCAACGGTGTAAAACAGAAATCAGAGTTGCACGAGCTGGTTCACTCATAAAACGAGAGTTTGCACCCAACCATATAATAAAACATGCTCTCAAAAACTGCCTAACATTAAACACGAGTTGAACACTTGCAAATAAATAAAGGTTATCTGTAACATGCGGAGGGTGGATTAACCCACACTGCTCTAGGCTTCACTAGGCCTATTTTGCATTTTCCTAAGTAGATAGGCACCTCCTAGTTCATAGGCCAGCCTACAGATTTAATGTAGTTGATAACGTCGCCAAGAGATGCTTCTCTTATATTGGCCGGTGTTAGCCAATTCTCGCCGATCACAAATCTTCTCATAAATGAGAGCATCGAGCAATCGTAGAGGATATCCTCAGTTGTCTCATCTTCTTGTTCGCACCTCCTGTAGAGTGCGGGTTCTGACAGCTCCATGATATGGAGATGCTTCCGTACTTGGCAATGACCAGTCAGAATGCCTGTGATCAGACGCAGATTCTGTATAGTCATAGTAAAGTATTTGTTTTCTATAGTGTTGTCAGGATAACTTAAAAGCTCCATGGCAATTCTGCAGCTTCTTGGTTCATCCCATCGTTCCTTGAATTTCACAAGTTTAATTAGGTTTGTGACTACCGATGTTGTCAGTCCGATAGACGGACCAGGTCCAAAAAGTATTTGGTTGGCTGCCTTCTTAGCTAGTGAATCGGCAAGACGGTTACCTTTCGACGTGGTGTGACCTTTGATTCGTCTTAAGTTGACCACATTGATAATGGATACTTCGGCCAAAGCTTCATGACATTCTAGTACTAACCCTGAATAAATTTGTGGTCTGTCCAGGGTGAGTAGTGCTTGTCTGCTATCTGTATAGATGAGCATGTTCCTTCCAGTAATATTATTTCTGGCGATTTCTTTTGCTGCTATGAGAATCCGCGTAAGCTGCGTTTACATTACACTGGCACTATTGCTTACAGTCCATTGTATGTATAGATTTAAGGATCTGGAGTATATTCCACATCCTGAGCCTTGTTTTGTTTTAGAACCGTCTTGTAGATATGAATCGTACCTGCCACAACTGGCTCTTGTATTTGTTGTTATAACTTTATATGTCTTATGGAAGATATATCTCTGAGTCCATGTTCGCTTGAAGGAGAGAGAACGTATCAAGCACCTCCTGTCGTCTCACCTCACCAGATACGACATTAGGTTCTATTTCAACCGTGAGGAGGTGTGTCATTGTCATCAGAACAATCTCCTTGATGTAAATATCAAGGGGAGTCAGACTAAGAATGACTTCCATGGCTCTGGTCAGTATGGTTTTATTGTTCCTGTTATGTTGAGACATGCTTTTCTTTGAATTTGTTCTAGTTTGTGGATAGCTGACAATTTTTGGGTTTTGGTACTCACACAAATGCACCGTATGTTAGAGTAGGTCTTATGATGGCCATGTAAGTCCATGCAACAACTCTGGAGGGGAGACCGCAGGTGTGTCCCACAGTTCGACAGTATTGTTCATAAGCAATGTATGCTTTTTTATAAATATCGGTTTATTATGAAGAATGGATGGGCCTAGTAGTTTTTCGTCATTGGTAATTTATGAAACTGAAGGTCAAAAGGAAAAATGCTGATGTCACCATTAGATGCAGTATTATTATGATAATAATAAAAATAAACCAATTTTCAAATTATCTTCCTTGTAGAAAAAGTTATAAAGACAAAAGAAAACGAAAAAACTATTTTTTTTCCAAATAACCTTATTTTTTTATCTGGTTTTTTTATGGTTATGAATTGTGATCTAAATTGTAATTATAACTTTTGTCTCATGTAACTGACTTTGAATATCTTGCCGTTTCCAAAATACTTACTTAATTCAATTTAAATGTGTCACCCAGGTTCATAATTTTATATTTTGATTTTTCATAGAAACTACAGTAAAAAAGAATTTTAATGGACCTGAAGAAAATATATTAGAAAAAATTAAACCAAATGTCTTTTTCAGAAAAGAAGCGTAGTCTTAGTTACCTGTACTTCTATTTTTTAAAGCATCTTTGTTCAAAATGTAATATTCTACAATATTTTTTAATTCATATTAAAAAAATTGACATCAAAAGAAATGGGGAAAGTAAATCAATACTTTTTGGTTGTAGGCTAAAAAAGTAGAAGATTTAGGTCAAGTTAATTTTCAAGAGGAAGAGAAAAAGCGTTTTAAAATGGTTTATGTGCCTAACTGGTTTAATATCGATCTGAAAACGGGAGTAAGTAAAATAAAAATATATTCATAGTATAACTGACATATAAGAGGTAAATGTTATTGTTATAATATAAAAACGTTTCAGATGTTGACTATTCACTTAGGTCAGGATGAGGTAGATTGTTTCTCAGCGTGGGTGTCGGCCAGAGATGCTGGAATAAGAGACACTCCAGAGCCAGACCATAAAGTAAATTATGGAAAACTATTGCTTCAAGCCCTCTTTGAACATTGGAGAGGTGTTGAGACTGACCCAGAAAATAGGCTGTATTTTAGTGTTCCTAAACATATACCACTAATTTTAAGGTAATTATATTTTTGTACAAAGGTAGGAATTAGACTTGATCCACCTATTCCCGAATGTTAAGTATTAGAATTAAGATATATTAATAATAAAAGCAACATTAATACAATAAATATATTGTTATGCTGGTTTTCGGTAAATTCAATTTATTTCAAACTTGAACTTTGACGTCAGGCTCATCGACTTATATAGCTCCCTTGAACCTTTTCGAACCGTGCAGATGTTTCTTGACACGAATTGCAATTCTAGACTGTTCTCTCTTCTTTTATTCATACTTTTACTTATGACAACCGCAGCACACTGTAGAGCAGCCAGTCAAACTCAAAGTCACTGTTGGGCCAAAAGCATGAAGACCGTAGACTAAGTGGGTCGCAAAACCTATTCTTAACGAAAAAAAGCACTATTATACAACAAGTATATTTATTAAATTTCCAATAAAAAGGTCATTACAAAAAAGTACAAACATTAACTTCTTTTGCCAGATATTTGACATCATTTTTCTTTAATTACGGATTGTGATTTCTTGACAGTTCTTTCTTGCAACGTGCGTGTTTTCAAAAACGGTTTTTAACACGCTTGTGGTCTTCTGTTTTTAAAAATTGATTCAGGCCGCATGTTTGATATGGCTGCTATAGGGTGATATTGCACTACTTATGCATTTAAATGGTTTGCTCTTTTTGACAAATATAATAACCCTGCCCTTGAAATATTCCTTATTCGAACTTGAATTCTGCATTGAAAAATTTAGTTTTCTATTAATTGCTTATTAATAATGCATGGAACCCCAAAAATAATCCTTGTACTGTATAAAGGTGCTTTTCAAATAAAACCTGTTACATGCAGAAATATAAATAAATCATCTTTTTTACTTGAACGGCGGCTGTCGAAAAATAATATAAATGAATAAATATTTAAAAATTTATGTTTTATATTTTAGTGAGGTTGGAGGAAGAACTCTTTACAGAGTACTAGTAGGAGATACATCTGGTGATACAGAAAACGCCCTGTTGAGTGAAACTGTTCCATCCTGGGTTATATCTAATATAGAAGAAAATTCTCAGAACAAATTCATAAAAGTTCAATTTTATCTTCAACCCCATTCCAGTGTACCTTCACATCTTTTAAAACAAGATAGATTGAAGAAGGTATTTATTTAAAGAAATTAAAATAATCGTAACTTTATAGCATTTAAAAGTAGATCTTTTTAATCTGATATCTTTTTACCGCAATTTTTAGCCAGATAGATTAGTCGCAAATGACTTTATCCAGTGTCGGAAGGTTGCTGAACATATCTTAGAAAAACTCTTGGGTGATGGAACTGCAAGTTCACCAGGTGGTGATGCCGATCCATCAACTCCTTCCAATAATGGTTATAACGTTGACCAAATCGAATTAACTTGTAACGAACAGGTAAGCATTTATTTTCAGTTTTGCTTCTAATGTTAAATACAACCATATATATATTTTTGTTTCAGGTGCTAGATCCCTCGATGGATCTTAGAACAGTGAAACATTTCATATGGAAATCGTCCTCCGACTTAACATTGTATTATAAAATTATAAATAAATAGGATATTTGTTTTCCAGTAATTGTTGTAAATATATTAGTTATTGTTATTTTTTAAGTTTTTAAACAATAATGATCACTTTAAGTTCCCACGGTTCTCAAGAACATTCTTTTTATATAATCTGAAGGTTATTTTTGTATTTGTACACAATGACATGTCTAACCTAAGAATATTTAGTGTTGGAATCGTAACAAGAAATATTTATTGTATAGTAAAGATGTAATCAAGTGAAAAAGTTTTAATGAAGATTTCATAACCTCCATAGTTAGCGAATGAATGTTAACAGATCCATTTACTATTTTCAAAAGTAGAAAAACATGTAAGCGTGACATGAAAATCTTGATAGTATATTATTTGTAGGTAACAGTAGGATAAAAAAAAGAATGAATCGCAAGTCGGAAAACATGGAATTTGCAAAAGGGATAATACTGCCAAAGCGTGTATTTTTATCTGCTAATAACTTGAAACTACAGTGATTTAGCATCAATATGATAAGAATATTTGGAAAAACGATAAAGAAGTAGAATATATTAAAGAACTGTATTATTACTGATGAGAAGTCGACAAAGATAAACGAAGTCTACCGGGAGTATGGGCAGTAGATTCAAAAAAATTATTTGATTTTTGGTTAGCATTGGTATCGGAATGTTTTTAGTTATTGATGATGAAGACATTGGAAAGGCTATGAGAGATGTTCATAAGGGATACGGTGATTACAACAACACCATTACACCCAAACCAACATGCATACCCCAGGCAGATCTACTGATTCAGCCCTTCATCTAGTTGCTTGTCGGATAGAAAGATCCCTGGACAATAAGGAGTCCGCCTTGGGTGTTTTCATAGACATAGAAGGTGCTTTTGATAAAACCACTTTCCCAAAGATAATACACTAACCAACAGGAATGTTCCACAAATGGTTAGTGGGTGGATACATAACATGCTCTCAAAGCGAGCAGTAAATATAAGTGTAGAAGATGTGAATATAAGAGGCTTGGTTGCGAGGGGATGTCCACAGGGAGGGGTGCTATCACCTCTACTGTGGAATATGGTCTTCGACACCCTCATCAGCCGCCCAAATAATGACAGTCACTACACAATAGCATATGCAGATGACCTGGCCAGGGAATGTTGAGAACATACTCTGCGAACGAATGCAAGTAGCTCTAAAAATTATCGAACAGTGGTGCAAGGACCATTCACTATATATCAATCCTAAGAAGACAGAAATGGTCCTTTTCACAAGGAAAAGGATGAAAATGGAATTAAAACCTCCAGAACTCCTAAACACAAAACTAAACTTTGCAACAGAGGTGAAGTACCTAGGTCTCGCCTTTGACAGCAAGTTAACATGGAACTCGCATTTAGAAAATAGAGTTACAAGAGCATACATTGCTTATGAACAATGCCGCCGAACCGTTGGGCGCACCTCGGGTTTCTCCCCCAGAGTCGTCGCATGGACTTACACGACTATCATAAGACCTATGCTAACATACGGTGCAGTTGTCTGGGTACCGAAAACCTAAAAATCAACAGCTATCCGTAAACTAGAAAAAATTCAAAGAACAGCATGTCTCAACATAACAGGAGCCATGAAAACAACCCCGACCAGGGCCATGGAAGTCATTCTCAGTCTCACTCCCCTTGATATTTACATCAAGGAGGTTGTTCTGACCACAATGACACACCTCTGCACGGTTGGAATAGAACCTAATGTAGGATCTGGTGAGGCGAGACGTCGCTTTTGGCAGGAGGCGCTCGATACGCTCACACTGCTTGAAGCTAACATGGACCGAGATATCTTCCATAAGACACATAAAGTTATAATAGAACAAACAGAAGAGCCGGAAGTGGCAGGTACGATTCATATTTACACCGACGGTTCTAAAACAAAACAAGGTTGAGGATGTGGAATATACTCCAATTCTTAAACCTAAACATAAAATGGGCTGTGAGCAATAGTGCCAGTGTAGTTCAAACAGAGCTAACGGGTATTCTCATAGCAGCAAAAGAAATAACCAGAAACAATATCACTGGAAGGAGCATGCTCATCTATACAGATAGCAGACAAGCACTACTCACCCTGAACAGACCACGAATTAACTCAGGGTTAGTACTAGAATGTCACGAAGGTTTGGCCCAAGTATCCATCAACAATGTGGTCACCTTAAGATGGATCAAAGGTCACTAGCCAAGAAAGCAGCCTACCAAATACTTTTTGGACCTGGCCCGTCTATCGTCCTGACAAAATCGGTAGTGACAGACCTAATCAAAGAACATTCTCTTGTAAAATTCAAGGAAAGATGGGATGAAACAAGAAACTGCAGAGTTGCCAGGGAGCTCTTAAGTTATCCTGACAACACTGCAGCAAACAAATACTTGACTATGACTAGACAGAATCTGCGCCTAGTCACAGGCATTCTGACTGGTCATTGCCAAGTATGAAAGCATCTCCATATCAAGGGGCTGTCAGAATCCTCTGTAGAGGGTGCGAACAAGAATATGAGACCATCGAGCATATACTTTACGATTGCCCGACGCTCTCATTTATTAGAAGATTTGTGTTCGGCGAGTATCGATTAACACCGGCCGATATAAGAGACGCACCTCTTGGCGACGTTGTCAACTACATAAAATCTGTAGGCTGGCTCACGAGCTAGGAAGTGCCTATCATCTCAGGACGATGCACAATGGGCCTAAGTACCGTGGGGGAGGGGTAACCCACACGTTACAGATACAGAATTATTGATTAAAAAAAAAATTATTTTATCATTTTATAAGAAACCTGTTATTTTTATTAATGTATCAATTTTAAATTTGAATAGTTGTTTTTCATTGTTTTAATTATAAACTAAGATAAAATACGATAATTTTGACAACAGTGTACAATATTTGGATCCAAAAGTGACTTGGTAGCACTGATACCAGTTGAAAATATTACAAGAGATGAATAATCCAATATATTTTATTGGGCCACTCTAGAACGGCTAGTTCTGCGACGCGCAGTAGAACATTTTTCAGTCACAATTTAATGTTGATAAAGTTTGTTAGCCCATTGGGATTAAAAATAAAGAGCGAGCTGTTCTAGGGTGGTATAATTACGAAATTTATCAATATGTGTAAATTGCGGTATTTTATTAGAATATTAACCGAAAATGATCACAGAAAGACTAAACAATTCATAGAAGGAAAACGGGTCACATTTATAGTTTAAGGACTATTCCGAGACAGAACGCATTTGAAAAACTAGAATAATTCATGTAATAACATGTGTATTAACAAAAACTTTAATACATTTCCAAAAGCCTAGCCATCATCAGTAAAACAAGTAAAGTATAGTTTTGGTACAAATTATTTCCACCAGATTCCTTTTATTTTGATTCATTTTTTAACCACCTCTGCCACTATTTTCTGTTGCAATTAAGTCTTTCTCTACCTCTTCCATCTTAATTTTGGTTGTCTTTTCCTTCTCATATCTTCAGGTTTGATTATACACTTATAAAATGCAATTCTATATAATTATTAATTTACAATGTAGTCTCTTACATCTTATTAAATAAAACAGAATTTTTATTGAAAGGCATTAGAAGTAAATATTTTAACAGCGTATTTATTACCCAGGTGAAAAGAAGGCAGAAAGTTTCTATAAACGTATGTATTCAAAAGTACCAGAAAATGGTTTTCTGAATATATTTTCGAAACCGGTACTGATAAATACTGTACATTTTGGATTACTCTTAAAATTGATATTCTGAATGTGACAACTAGTTTAAACACTATATACTTCTAAGTGGGACGCCATAACTAGGGGAGAGCAGTGTAGAAAAGTACTATTTTTTTATCCTCTACTTTTTATAATTTTTGAGACCATACTTATAAAATTTAACCTGTTTTATCACAAAAAGGTATTCTTAAGGCGCATTCGCACTATGCCGATCGGCTTTACCGATCAGAAAAGGCCGCATTAACATCACGTCCTTACTGTAGTTGTAGTGAGTACGCTAGACGAAGCTTGTGAAAAATGAGCGAAGTTGAAGATTACGAAATGGTGGCAATTGCAGCCGCAGTTATAGTTGATTGCTAATCCCAAAACGTGAAAAGAAAAGATTTCGGGTTCGTCCAAGCCTTCGAAGTCGAATTAGTTGCAGTGATTTGATTAAATATTTAATATTGGATGATGTTGATGATTTAAAATTGGAGTATAGGTGCGACGCAGGATTTCCCTTTCACGGTAAAGTTCTATTAAACTTAAAACATTTGCGTCATTCCACTCCAAATTCTAAATCCAATGACAACATTCAATTTTTGGTAAATCTTACATTCTTTCAAAATGTTATGAACTGACAACTCTAGAATACATGCAATTTTAATTAGGTTTTTAACTCCATATTTATTCTATAAATTACAATAGTGAAGAACATTTTCCATATTACAGGCATTTTGTGGTCTTCCTTAACCTGAAACATTTTGAAAATTCCTATATTCAACCAGTTTGATCCTAAGCTACCTACGTTTCGAATATCTTCATGGGCAGCTAATGATCGCTCGTTATGAAATCCATAAACAAAATGCATGTCTGCAAGTTCTATGTGTTTTCAGCATGATAGTAGTAGGCTCACTGGGGACTGGTTGGATGAAAATTATCAAGAGGGTTGACTGGTTAGAGGCGATTCGATATCCACCTCGCTCACTTGACCTTTGCAAGTGAGACTACTATTTCTGGGACAATTTTAAAAGAATAGTATACAACACCGAGATTAATTCTCGAAAGAACGCCTGTGGGTATGTACCCATTGTGTATGTATATGTTTACAACTCGACAATCTTAATTAAATAATAGACCAATGTTTTTCAATTCTTTAATAAATGCAAATAGAAATGAAAAACATGTATTTCCAAATGCTTATATTATCAGAGTAACTGTAAACAATTGTTAATGAAAAGATATCTATAATGGAAAAAAAAAGTTAATATTCTCGAAATAAACAATAAAATAGGGGGACTATTGGGGAATAAAAATAAATATACTATGAATACAAAATTAAAAAAATGTATTAACTTCTTAAACGTCAACAAATAAAAAAAATTATTCCACACAGTGGATACTTAACAAAACAAAAACACCTTGTAGTTAAGTTAAATCTTAATAATCAGATCATAAAGGAACAAAAACAATATTCAAAATAAAATGTTATTCTTATTCTTCTATTGAAGTAACAATTATATCTGCGACTACGTCAGCCAGAGGTTTCTCTACTATTAAATCTGTTTCAGAAATTTCTATCATTTTTATTTCACGCTGATTGTCAACTGAATTTTGAGTATTTTCTTCTTTGTCATTTTCCAAAGTAGTTAACACATTATTTATATTTTCATTGCTATTTTTTATTGCAGTCTCTATTTTATTATCATTAATTAAAACTTCTTGTCTTGATGGCAGTTCCACTTCAGTTTTATTGCCATTAGTATCTTTGAATGCATTGTATCTGAATAGAACAGCTTTTTGTAAAGCTGAATTTCCAGCTTTTTCAGCTAACTCCATAGCAAATTCTAGAAGTTCCAAATCAGTTCTTCTGAACAGTACTGTTGCAGCTTCTTCATACTTTCCAAGATATATGTTACTAAAATAAATAATCTTAATTAAAACTAGGAACTTTATTGTAGATTATATTGAATAATCACACAAAAAGTACAATTGGATATATATACATCTGGTATCTTTGTTACAAATTTAAAATGAGGTGCATTGAGAATGTATCGGTAGTGTCATCTACCACAACCTCTATCGGTTTATTTAAAAAACATTTTAAAGATAAAGAGAAGAAGTTGAATAATGGGAATTATATTCCACGACTAAAACTGTAAAATTCAAAATTTATAACTTAAAGTATCAAAAATAGAATAATATATACCTTTCATTAGAACATTTTGTATACTATACATACCATTGAGCTGCAATTTCAAAATTACCAGTTTGGACAGAATATGCTGCCCATTTACTTATAATGTCATCAACTTTTTTTTTATCCAACATTCTGCATTTTGCTAATGCTATTGCTTCTCGAAATAGCAAAGCATCACTAAGACAATTGACAGCTTTCTCCACTTTATGGCAGGCCAAATAATACGTAGCGATTTCCAGAGGATCTGAATTTGACTCTTCTGATAATTGATCACCATAAGTTTCGCATGCTGCTTGCCAAAGTCTAATAAAAAAAAAGTAATAAAAGTGATTGGAAAATATATTTCTAGCTAGTTCATGACGAAAATTATATATTCAAAATTACAAAATAAAATAGTAGTCTTCATTGTAAAAATATATTTATGTTAATAAGGATATTCCAATAAGAGTTTCCGAATGTTTTTTTTTTTTGTTACTTGTCTTAAACTATTTTCGTGATATTAGTATTAAAGTAGCACCCGATTTCTAAGGAAACAGTTTCATTTCTGTGGTAAAGTGGATCGGGGTGTCATTCCTTTCAGTTTTAGGAAATGGAAATTGGAAGCTCCATTATGGTTTGGTTTAAAATACTGTAAAAGATGCAACTTTTTCCTTTTTTTAAACGCTTTAATCGAAAAGAAAAAGTTATTCATCTTAACACTACCTACAAAAAGCCCCAGTTACATTTTAAACTAAAGATAACGATCCGAGGGTCAAACTCGATATTTCGAAAAAACTGAGGAACTTTTTAAAATAAAGGACGTTAAATATGAATAATAGGCTATTTTCACAAAACTCAAGCAAAAATATTAATATTTATTACATCAAAACAACATTATAAAGTAACTCTTTTTGTTAAAGGTTCACTACACAAATTTGATATTTCGATTTATTATTTAAGTTAGGTAGAATCCGAATCTGTAATAACAAAAATCAGTCTGTCCGCCGTACGTCAGGATTTTTAACGGGCTACAGCTTCGTTAATATGAGTATTGACATTCATTTTTAATTTATTCTATAGTTTTCAATTTCTTTTTTGCAACGATATAAAATTTAGTACTGTCAAAGTAGATCTGTAGCCACATATGGCAATTTTGGTATTAGTTGTAATGTACAATAAGTCAACTATAAAGAGGCACCGCAAGTGAAAAAAATCGGCTTCACTTTGAAGATGCTACAAAAAATCAATACATCTTTCCTGTCTTACCTAAAGTTATAGGCTTTTTCCGATTATTCTCTAAAACCTATTGTATCACCCATGTAAATGTTTAAAGGACGAACTAAATACACACATCTTACTCGAAACATTTTTTTTTATATAAATTCATTGCCAACGAAAATATTGGAAAAATTACAATTTTACACTTTTTCTCAAATTTTTCCATTACGGTCCCATTTTAGAGAAAACATGTATAGAACAAAAATTATAGAGAATAATATCACAAACATCTTTTATTTGAACAATTTTCTTAAAAATTGGAATTTTATTCTTTTTGTCAAATTACTCGAATAAGTACGGACCATTTTAGGGAAATTATGTATAGGACAAAAATTATTGGCAAATTTTCTCCAAGCGTAAATAACATATTCCTTAAAGTAGAAAAACGCCTCCTATAAAGTCACCCCTCCCCCCATATACTACGACTATGCCCAAAATCTAATCAACTCGGATGGCTGGATTGATTAAAGCTTAAGTTTAAAATTTAGTGTTTTTCTTTTTATTCGTTTTTGAGTTATCGCCAGAAATAACAAGAGACGTAACTCCAAATAAATATGATGTCCTGAAAAATACATATCCTAAGGGACACAGGAGGGTATAATATCCGCTGTTGTCATGCCTATTTCATTATTGTCGTTTTGTTTACAAAATTATTTACTATCCTGAAAAAGCTAAAATAATTCAACTGAACCTAAAAAAATTTAAATCGTTAGATATATCTAATTTAAATCATTAGATATATCTAATTTAACTAAATTAGATGTAGTAATTTTCAATAAATTAAAAAACCTAGTTTGTTAAGTTGCGAATATCAAGTATTTTGTACTAGATGTGGCAACAAGGCTTGGCATTGTGTACGTTTTTTTATTAAACATATATTCATTGTAAAAATTGTTTTGTAGGGCCATCAAATCCTTCAGTTTATCCCTTCCCCACATGTCTCTTCACTCCTGATCTACCACTGGACCGGATAGACTGTGGTATCCATGTTGGCGTCAAAAATATTATATTTTATCAATGAACCTCCTGTTAACTCTGGTTATCGTAGATACAGACACATACACAGAACAAAGCGGAAATAGTCACCAATTTTCAGAGACCAAACATTTTTCTTCCATTTCCAGTGTGTCTTTATAGTTGACTTAATACATTTCTATACCAATTTCTGTTTTAAAATAACTACTTAGATGATTCAGGATTTTGTAAATCACTGTTTCAATCCATTGTAATTTATTAAATCAAACAATTTCTATTTTTTATATCTCTGAAATGGATACGATACAGTGGCTGCTCGTAATTAAAAACATTGGATGTTTTGCAAGATTCTCTCTCCCCCTCCCAAAAAACAACTTTGAAGAATTAACACAAACTAATAATCTACAAAACATCACTTGTGCGACAAACTATAAACAAAGCTCGCCAATCTGGAAAAATGAAGCTCAAACAGTACGTGTCTTGACGTTATTTTTTAGAGAGCTGGCTGAAGGTGAGACGATGAGCGAAGGCAGCCAAAGTGGTGCACAGACCGTCTCGAAGCGACTCAGCTAAGAGATGAATATGATCTGGCAAGTTTTTGTTAAGTCTTCCACTGGTCCGCTTTTGATATATTCTTAGCTATAAAGTGACTGTAGGATACGTTCGCATGCTATGAATACTACTTAATAATTAAAATTAAATAGATGATTTCTGCAGTTTTACAGCACTCATGCACCAGCCGCTACTGATAACATAGATGCTTAATGAAATAAAAAAATTAAAGCTTTCACATAAGATACTTACTTTGGTGATACCATAGGCGCAAGAGAAATAATTCCAGGAGTGACCCTTTTTTCTTGAATCGCTTCTTTTATAGAGGTGCTAATATCGCCTCTAAATAGAGATAATGTTGTGTGCAAGCTATACTTTCCTTTTTGCTTATGAACCACTTCTAAAAAATGAAAAGAAAAAAAAATATTAGCCTTATTGGTAAGTCAAAAAATTATGATACATTATTTAAAAAATACATTTCTTACTAACCGTTGAGACTAATTAAATTAATCATATCTTGGTTTGCTCCGAAAATATTCAATATATCGATTTCACAGTTATCACCAATCTTTGTTTCAACAGCAGTCGGATTTTCGACCCAAAGTAATAATTTTTTGAGGTCTAAAACTGTTTGTGTTGAATTCTTTGGAGAATAGTATTTAGGAAGTATGGCATTTTTGGCAGGTTTCTTAATCTTAATTGTTTCTTCAACAGTTGGCTCGATCTTTGGTAAGAGATCGGATGCTTCTGTTGTCAATTCTTTTAGAATAGTCTTTCTTTGGCATGATATTTCTGAAAAGGTTACAATTTTACAATTATTGTAAACATTTACGTGATTAATAAAAAAAACAAGACGTATAATTAAATACCTTTTTCAGTCAAAGGTGGATGCTCTGGAATTTTCCAAATTTTTAAAGTGCTATCTTTTCCTGCAGAAATCATAAAATCTGGATCTATGGGACTCCAAATAGCTGCTAAGACACCTTCAAAGCTTTGGTTTATGAAAGTTGACACTATTTCGTTTTTCTGAACATCCCATATCTAAAAAAAAAGATGTAATAATTATTCTACCTGAGAAAGTAAATTTATTTATTAGTTGTACATTGCTAGCAGAATGATATCGTCAAACATACCTGGGCAGCTCCAACCTCAGAAGCAATCACAAGCTGAGAAGGATCATAAGGATTCCAAGCTACTGCATTAATCATGTCTGATGCACCACCTTGATACATATTTATTATATTATCATCATTATTGCCACTTTCTACTTTGAAGTCATATACTATCACATTTCTTGTATTAGAAATCGTTGCGAACCAGTTACTTTCTTTAGTACCAACAACAGATGCATTTGGATGCCACACAATGTCATTGATCCGGTACTGGAAATAATGTTTGCAAAGTATATTCATATCTGGCGAGTATACAATTAAAAATCCTGTTTTGGTCGTGATAAGCAATAGAGAATAATCTGGTTTCCAAGCAAATGAATAGATGAATGTCTTTTGAGGTTTGTCAATTTCTATGGGATCTAAAATATTAAATAATAAGTTATAGAACATTATTTTCAAAACTGAAGACTATCCACAAATTGGATTGCAGTTCCACAAAATAGAAAGATCTGAAAAAGTATAGAGAAGGCTGGTTGATTATAATTTAGAATCAGATAATACTAATAAAAAAGTGATTATATACTAGTTAATTATTCTTATCCTTTTCTTGCTTATCCCAAAAAGTGCTTGATTAAAATAGTAACAACTGCAACTAAATATATAAGGGAATATTAACTCACAACGAAGTTTTACAATGTAAATAATGCATTTTGAGGATTAGACTGTGGTCGGCCAGCAACAATGTATGTCTCGCAGATGAGTGACCCTCAAATAAAAATTCTTGTAATATAGTAATAAAAGGTATGGCAAGAATAACTAAGCGATTTCAGGCAGCTTGTTTTTGAAAAACCAATGATTACAATAGATATGGAGTTCCATACATCATAAGAATGATAACTGATGTGTTGGAACAACTAAAGACAGTGATGTTGCAGTAAAAATAGTCGAATTTTCCAATGCTACTAATAGGCGCCATTTAAGAGGCATCACTTTAAAATAATATGTAATAATATTGCATTAATGAGAAGTGGATATTAAAAAGTAGATATCAATACATTTTTTATTAGTTGTAATTATCAAGGGAAAAAATTTAGTTATTTTTTCCAAACCCTTTATTAATATAAAAATTAATGGTAATGTACCTTTTGGCGATTTATTGATATCAAAAAGTATCAAATTTCCTTCACCCACAGCATACAATCCAATATTTTGTTTGTTTCCATCCACAGGTGCCCATTCTACTTTGTAGACTTCTGATTTAAAATAATGAGGTAAAATTACAGGCATTTTTGATTTATTGCTAGTATCTATATAACCAACCTATAAAATGTTAATTTTTAGACTAATAATCAGTGACTTATTGGAATGTTATCTGTACCATGTAGGTACATTATATAAACAAATGAAAATGTTGACCTATGAATGTAACTAATTGTATGATGATGGTTGTCCCAGATTATTACTTGAATAGATTCTGATGTATAAACTAGAAAGTATACCGTCTTATCTAGTTGTTTTTTTGAATCAATATTAAGAACAAAATCTATTACAAATTATTTTTCATATTTACCCTTCCTTCTGAAGTTCCAAAAGCCAACAAGAGCTCATTTTCCGGATGCCAAGCCATTGCTGAAACTTTACCTTGAATTTTCTGATAAAAACTAGTCATGATTATATTATTCGTGTGGGGAAGACTTAAATCCCATAGTTTAATAAATCCATCTGACGTACCAATAACCAATCTAAAAAAAAATATATATTCAAATCGTGTATGTTCATTCAGTTAAAAGTCCTAGGTTCGACGACTCAACCATCCAAACCCTAAATTTTAATATTAAAGTGTCTACTAAATTTTTACTGCTACAAAAATGAAAAATGTTTCTAAATTCTTAGAGATACAATTTTATGTGTCATCGTTGGTACTGCAATATGAGCTATGCCACGAAAAAACTAATTTTTCAGGTATTATAAATACATTTTTGCTATGGAATACTGACATAAAACTTATTGCAATGCATGGAGCACAGTTTGTTGCATACTTACAAATAATAAAGTGAATTGTTGAATTGTTTGACACAGCACGTCTTGCAGTATTAATGATGATATATGTTTCATTAGTTGAATCATACTTTAGTTAACTTTAGTTATGATATGTGCTTTTGGAGTTTAGAATTATTTCAAATTTTTGTCTCACAAAACCGTTATAGGTATTGTTCGTCACAAAATTTTAACATTAACTTGTCTGTACATTTTCAAAAAGGGGTTTTCTGATTGTTAAGAAACTATTTATTAGTTTCAATACTTAAGGTTGGTGTTCACACATCTGCAATAAATGCAGACGTTACTTTAAACGTAGGTTTCAGAAAAAAATATATTCCCTGTGATTAATTTTAATCTTTAATTAAGTGAATTACTTTATCCAAACGATGTGAAATCATTGATTTGCCTACGAGTTTCCTTCAAATCTAAACATTTACACGTTTTCTTTCCGTTACAAACCGTAAAACACAGTAGAAATTAGAAAATAATTAAACACATCGCATTTGAAAATAATGTTTAGTTTTCCTGAAAGCTAGATTTAATATAAAATAGATTTTTATATGAAAAAATAATATTTTAATATATCGCGTGACATACTGGCCAATTACAAAGTACTTTCTTTTGGATGATTTTGTAAAAAAATCACGAAATTGTTCAAATAAATGGGATATGACCAGATGCCGCCCTTAATACTTATTGAAAATAACTAAGTTATTAAATCATTTATTATAATAAGCTTCAGATACACTGTAAAATTTTGAAGTGTATGTTGTACAATTTTATTTAATACTTGTTTGTGTTTGTTCTATATTACTATTTCCATTTTACAATGTGACCTTTAACTTTATTAGTAAAAAAACACTGCATAACCTGTTAGGATCCAAGGGCGATAACTGTATTGATTGTATATTGCCAGCAAATGTAGGATAACAGGCAAGATTACTTCTTGCACTATTAATTCTAGTATTCAACAATAAGCGATCTTGAGAAGTTGTCCAAGCATTAATTTCTGTAGTTTCCTTCCAGTTGTATTCATTTAGTAACTGACTAGGAGCAGATATTGAAAAGATCAATGAACTGTGATCTTTATGTATAACTGTATGAGCTTTTAAATGGCTGAAAATTTTAAATAGTTATTCAATAACAGGACACTTAAAATTTAAAAACAACATATGCTTTCCATATTACAAAAATCAAAATTATTAGAAAAAATTTAATCTATGGATAAACTTTAGTGACCATAAAAAAACAAGAAAATATTTACAAATTTTTATTAATAAAATGGTAGTAACATTAAGTTTCAAATCAAAAATGGTAACTCATGTTATATGGTTTTTAAATTGTATGTTTTATGTTTCATATGTACAGATCATCCCAAAAATAAATAAATTCATATAGTCTCTGCTTTTTTAACAAAATAACTTACTCTTGTGGCTTAGGTAATGTCCAAGCTAACAATTCTGACGACTTTGAAGATGATAATAAAACTGTGGGTGAAATCCAGCACAATGTTATCCACATTTTATCAACATCATGTTTAGACTTGCGGTAGTTAGCTTTATTTGGAAGAGTTAAAAATGTCTGCATTCTGCCATCTGTTCCAGCTCGCCATATATAAATATTTCTGAAGAAAATAATTTTGCAATAAAAAAATGAAAGCAAACAAAATTGAAATAATTAATAAAAACCCCATTATTATTACCCTTCCTTTGCCGAAGATGCTAACAAAAATTCTTTTCTGGGTTCTTCTTCTACAGGGATTGGTTTAGTACTAACAATTTCCCTACCAACATCTTCACAAGTTTTAGATTTATTTATTTCAGTGTCTGTATTAGATACTATTTTGTCAATATTTGAATCTGTATCATTAATTTCAGTGCCAACATTATCTGTTGTTTTTTTTAATACATCAAGTTTCTCCTCCGATGACTTATTTGTAATGTCACTTTCTGGTTGATTACTGGTATCTGTGTTATTAATTTCACAGCCAACATTATTTGTTGATTTAATTAATACATCAAGTTTCTCCTCTGAGGACTTATTTATAATGTCACGTTCTGGTTGATTGCTGGTATCTGTATCATTGATTTCAGAGCCAACATTATTTATTGATTTAATTAAATCATCAATTTTCTCCTCTGAGGACTCATTTGTAATGTCACTTTCTGGTTGATTGCTGGTAGGCAGCCTATCTAAAAATAGCGGGTAACTTTACATTACTTATAAAGTTATTTATTATGTATATCTAAAATTTATAAAACAATACTTTAAAATTCACTATTGCTGAAAGCCATACCTAATATTTTATGATCAACAAATTCCCATTCTTTGAGTAAATACATTTGCAAATATTTTTCATCATCTTCATCATAACCATACATTTTCAGTAAAGGATGGCAAACTTGAAAAGCATTATCATTTGGCTGTTCAAGCTTACTATCCACCATTTCCTCTTTATTTCCATCATCTATTTGCTTTTGACCAACAAAATTGTATGGATTTTTGGGAAATATATTTATGGGAACAGGACACCATGATAAAGAAATTACTGACTTATCATGACCTCTCATTCTGTATAACACTTTACCACTTCCTATAAAAAACAAAATATTTATAAATTGATTATTTAGTATTAATAACAATAGTGATGTATTGAAAACAACAATTAGTTACTTACTTCTTAAATCAGTAACAATTACCAATCCATTTTTTAAACCAAATGCTGTTAGCCAAGATGCATGTGGACAAGTAGATATACATGTTACTGATACCTTAGGTCCCAATAATTCTTTAATATTATTAGTTTCATTTAAAGGGAGATTCCATATAACTATTGTACCATCTTCAGAAACACTGATAATCCGTTCATCTCCAGCAAATGTAGCACCTATCACTTTATTATGTGAAAGCTAAAATTGAAAGTAAAAAGTGTAAAATCTAAACCTTAATTAGGCAACAAATGTATTTAAATACAACACCAGGAGACTTAAAGTCAAGAGTCACATATTTTTATTAAAAAAAAAAACTTGTATCAAAAATAGAAAAAAAAAGAAGAGAAATCGATAACGTGAGAAATAAATTATGAAGGTTGTGCTGCAATGGGCCCGTTCACTTTCATTTTTGAATGGGAATTAATTATATATTTATAAAGAGATTAAACTATTTTGTCTGGTGGTACTTTTCCCGTTAAGATATGTTTGCTAGAAGTAAGGGAATTCCCATAAAATTCTTTCAGTGACTCATTGCGTCAGAAAATCCCTAATTCCGTTCACGTCTCGTATCGGTTATGCTTAAAGACGGCGGGGTTGTCGGAAGTATCCCTAATATACCATTTCTGCATTTATATATGTAATTTAAATAGTAAAATTCCATTATTTTTCTAAAAATCGTGATGTTATATTTTCAGATTTAAAGCTGGGAGCTTATTTTTTTTTTTTAATTAAAACAATTATTATTACTCAGGCTGAAAATTAACCAGACCATAATCAAAAAGTAGAAATTTGATTTGCAATATTTATCTGGTAAACGTGGCAACGTTGCATTTATTTCTAGAAGTGTGTGTAGACAACACTATTTAGAAGTACTTTCAACGTTGTCACGTTCACCAGATACATTTTCTCAAATAAAATTTCGATTTGGTAATATTCAGCTTGAGTAATACTAATTGTTTTTATTAAAATTTAAAAAAGGTAAGGCTTCCAGCATTATCTGAAAATATAAACACATTATTTTAAAAAAATAATATATTTTTATAATGTAAATTTCTTTAATAAATGCAGAAGAGGAATGGTGGTGCAATGACACATCCGACAACCGCGCCCTTTTAACTATTAACCGATACGAGACTTGAAGGGAATTAGGGGTTTTCTGACGCAATGAGTCACTGAAAGAATTTTATGGGAATTCCCTTACTTCTAGCAAACATATCTTAACGGGAAAAGTACCACCAGACAAAAGAGTTTAATATCTTTATAAATATATAATTAATTCACATTCAAAAATGAAAGTGAACGGGCCCATTGGTGATAATGATGGAGCAGTTGAATTTGTTACTAACTGTTCAAGAAAATCCACACATATCCAGTCAGTAGACAAATCACAACAGAAACCTCACTGAGTAATCTACAGTTTTAAAATATTTAAAAAGAACAAGTTTCACCATATAAAGTTAATTTAGTCTGTGAGCTCAACAAGGATTTTGATTGAAGGATGGAATTTTGGGAACTGATGATGGAGTATATAATAATGACCCACAATTTGTAGAGCATGTAGTATTTTCAGATGAAGCATTATTTTATTTAAATGGAACTGTTAATAGGTAAAACTGTAGGTACAGGTCAAATTCTAATCCTTAGTGAATGATGGAGGCCCACACTCAGTATCCTGAAAAAGTTAATGTTTGGACAGGAATTGTTGGCAACAACATTTTGGGAACATTTTTTATTGAAGGAACGATGACTGCTGAAAAATATTTAGAAATGCTACAAAATTATATTATTCTAGCTTTTGCTCGTTATATCCAGATAACCAAACTTACCAATTGCCTAATAATTGGATATGGTTTCAACAGGATGGTGCATCACCACATTATGGATAAAGCTTGATTATTTAAATATTATTTGCCCCAACAGGTTGATAGGTAGGAGTGGATTTATAGAGTGGCCACCTAAATCTCCTGATCTAGCCCCACTTGATCTTTACTTTTGGGGTTATCTTAAATCTAAAGTATACCTCAGTAGGCCTAACAATATTGAATATATAAAAGAGAATTTGTAATGAGGTACTCATTTGGCCAGAAACAACTAGAGTGTTGGAGGAATTTAGAAACCATTTTGGTTATTTGCAGAAAGTCAGTGGCATGCACTTTGATCATTTAATTTTGAAATGTATTATGTTAATTATTCAAACTCTAAAAATTTCCTTTCAATAAAATTTTAGTTTCAAAATTTATTATATATTTATCTCTAATTCACAAACCAATGACTTTGAACTATAAGTATTACATACATATTTGTAATTGTCTAAATTGGGAAATGAGAAAAAATGTTATTCTATTAAAAAAAATCGATGAAATCATGTACATGAAACCTATACATCCTCACCATATAATAAATGTAGCAAAAGATTTTTAATGCCAAAATTTAAAATTTCATTTGATGGTTCCTTATCATCAATACCATCAATCATCTTTAAGTCGCCCCGGAGCGCCACGGCAAATAATAATAACCGTCCCTTTCCCCAGACAAGCTCAGCTTTTGGGGTTAAAATTCACTCGTAAGGGGATGAATTAGGGAGAGTATTATTATTATTATTATTATATATTATTATGCAAGAAATCAAATAGATGTGAGAAAATATTTTTTAATGTGGACAGTTTGGAGTTCCTATTATTAAAAACTGATACTTACATGTTTATTGTGAGAGTATAGTTTTTTGCAAGATTCCACATCCCAAACTTTGACAATTTTATCATCAGACAAGGAAACAATTAGTTTATGTGGTTGTCCCCAATTTTTGTTTATGTTTACACATAGTATTCTAAAAAATTTAAATTTTAATTGAACTTGAATATTTGGATAACTAACTTCATAACATTTTTATAAAAAATCACAAGAATGTGATAAAAGTGCAGTAAGTACTTAATATTTAAATAAAGTGGATAATTTTCCTTTACAACTTTATTTTTTTGTTATTCCTTAAACATGGTTATTACCTATTATAATAAATTAACAATGTCAGTCATTTTTTTATAATTATTATACTGATTAAAATGAAATGTGCAAATATCTTATAATATAATAGATATGAAGAAAAAGACATAAGTTTGGCAGGAAATTTCAAGAATTTAAATTTCTTAATAAGCAAGTGTGAAAAAAAAAACAAAGAAAAACTCAAAAAATTAGCACTCCCAGGTGGGAATCAAACCCAGGTTGTCTTGCTGAGCCAACATCTTGACCCCCATGCAATCTAGCAATAAATTTAAGTTGATAAGACCCAATTCTAACTCAATTTTTTTAGAATTCTTCCAATTTTATTTTACCAGATACCTCTGTAAAGTGAACATTGAAATTCACCTTTTTTAAACATAGGATGCAGGCACTAATGATTATGTATATTTAAGACACTACATAAAATAATTAAGTGTCTTAGAACTTATTGTATCCCTTGATAAAAAGCTCAGTATTTTATAATCTTAAATTAATTACCAACAAACATGAGGAACATTCAAAATGAAAAATTATTTAAAAATTAATTCAAATACTGCAGTGAATGAGACACAATTCATTATTTTTCATTAAATTAATAAACTAAAGTAATTTAATGTTAATAATCAAATAATACACATATTAGTTAGTAGCCTATTTAATTTAATTAATTTTAGTTTTATTTTTACTGTGGAACTGTTGTATGTAAAAGATATATGTATTTAAAAATAATTCTTAATCAAGCCCTTATTTATTGTAAGCATTCAGATTGTGTTTTATATTAGGCAGACAGGATGGTTTGTATGTGTTTATCTGGGGTGCAAGCACTCGATTTATGAGTGACTGAGTTTTTAGGACTATGACCCTTGCTTTACACTGCTGTCACACTTCAAAATAAATTGCTAATTTTCTAGAAATCACCTTCAACTAGGTATGTTGTTCTTCTTTGATTTTACAAGTACAAAAATGGACTAAGTTACCCGATTGTAAGTACTGCTCTTTCAGTTGCTTCAATCGCCTTGTTAGAGACGCAACATAAAAGAGGGGTTCAAACTAAACCCTATTCTATTTTCTTACAGAATCCTGAATTTTCAAAATTTAAAAAAGTTGTGTATTAAGGAAAATTGCAAATATACGTTCTCGGAATTTTATTTATAAATTCTTACTTCAGAGTATGAGCTCGGGATATCACTCTTACATTTGCCGCTACTTTAGGATCATTATTTTCTAAAATAATGATATCACTTCTAGCTCCATAAATTAAAGTATTATCAGGTGCACATGTTGAAATGTTGCTTTCATACCAATTTGGAGACGGAGGTAATATTAATTTATTCATTTTTTACTGAAACAAAAAATTTAAACTACAAAAAATTTCCAAAAGTCGGTGTACAAAAAAATGTTAAAAAAATGTTTTATTATAAATAGTAATCGTAATCTTACCCATTAATTTATATAAATTATTCGAACAAATTTAAAACTAAACTAAACTTGATGAGGTTTATAATCTATACCGGTAAACGGATAAACTGGGATAAGATTAATAAGCTTTGAAGATGAAGAGCAAAAATGTTTTTAAGGTTATGGTTATCAAAAATGACAACTGACAACCACCAATGACAATTTGACTCAGTAGTCAGTGTTGCCGTTGCCAACCTTGAAGTAAGCTTTTTCCCTCTTCTTGCCTTAAAAATTCCCACTTTTATGAAAAAATTCCCTCACGTTAACAAAATCGGTTTTATATCAGAAATACAAGCATGTACATATTTTAAAAAAAATGTTTATCAAAAGGAAACGAACGTACATAACAAAGTATAAAAAGTATAATCTAAAAAACATAAATCTTTTAACAAAACTGTAAAAATATATTTTGTTTATTTTTAAAATCATACATTTTTAAAATTTGAACTGAAGTAAAAAATTCCCGTTTAAAGTTAATTTTTAATTCGGAGTAATACAAGACGTCACTTTAAATTTCTATCTCTTAAATGTCAACAAATACCCAGACAACACACCAAATCCCAGAGATATCCGCAGAATATCTTTTGTGGATATCCAATATATCCACAGGATATCAGAAATATTCCGTGGATCTAATATCGATATCCAAATGTCCGTCTATATCCAGGATATAGAAGATATCCTAATGGATATTCAGCAAAATATTTAATGGGTATCTTCCAGAAAATACAAGAAATCACCAGGGCCGCCGAGAGCCAGGTCGGGCCCCGGGAAAATTCTCTCATCGGGCCCTGCAACTTTTCATTTTCTAAAAAAAAACCTCGGCTAGAAGTTTCTCCTTATCTCAATTACTTCTTCTTCTAAAAAAAAGGCCCTCGTCTAAAAAAAATTACGTCTTCTTCAAAAAAAAAGTCCTTATCTCTACAAAAATATTTTATCCCTAACTTCAATTATTCTTCTTCTATCACAATAATCTCATCGCCATGCGGGAACAGAAAACCCTATTGTCGGGCCCCCCTTACATCGCTTCCGGGCCCCGGGAATTCCTCCCGGCTACCCCCCCTCTAGTCGGGCCTGGAAATCACAGAGATTTCCACAGAATATATTTTGTGGATATTCAATATATCCAATATGGATATCCAACCAAATGTCTGTCTATATCCCAGGATATAGAAGATATTCGGATATTCAGCAAAATATTTTATGGGTATCTTTAGTAGAGGTTCATATAAGTAACCAATGATTATTAAATAACGTCGAAAGAAAATAGCAGAGATAAAAAATATTTTCAACACTCAAAATATTTTCAACACCCTGCCTTTGATTTTGCCCACTAAGGAGAAAGTCATCCTTATTAGGACTCTTCAGCAATAAATGAAAATTCTCGACTCCAGTCTCTAATGGAGTGATTAGGACACACATTTCGATCGAACTCAATTACGGCGGGTCGAGCATGAGTAGATGCGATAGTGGTATCGCCATCTATACTTAGTAAGCCGAATCAAATAACATCTAGTGGATATCCACGATGGTTTGCGTTCGCGCCTAGACTTTGATATATTTAGTGGATGTTCATGGGATATTGAATACACCTTAAAAAAATTAATTTTAAATATCTGAACGGTACTATTAGCCACAATGGCGTAATTTTTTAATAATTTGCTATATAATTACTATTATTTATGGACATTTGCATGTCTATAAATTACATTTCATGGATATAAAATAGATATCTACCATGGACTGGATATTCAGTGGATATTGGGATGTTCAGTAGATATCCAAAGGATTTGGTGTGCTGTCTGGGTACGTAACACAATGAATTTAATAAAACGCCAGTCTCGAATTAGCACGGTTGCAAATTGACGCCACCTCATCGATAGTACATTTTTAAATCTTAACACTAGTTTCCTGAAATAATTAGCGCAAAAATAAAAGAGTGTATTTTATGTTTTAGCTTTTATAAATACTATAAAAAAATTGTGAAAAGTCCATAATTTTTAAATATTTGTTAAATATCACTTATTCAAAATATTATGCCTTAAAAGTAAAACAAATTATAGACTTTCCACCATTGTTTACCGTACTCTGAACCCATTTTTAAAAACAATATCTCAAAATATTATCGTTCAGGGGTGAGATTACAGAACGTCTGCAACTTTGCAGATCTGCAAATATGGCGGCAACTTTGAAAATCTGTAAATATGACTGACTTACACATTCAAATATCAAGTTTTCGTATTCCAAATTTGGGTTTAGGGTTGTTGGGGGTAATAAACCACAATAAATATTGCGAATTTGCAGATATTTTTTGGAATACTTGCATTTGTAAGTCCGCCATATTTGCAGATTTGCAAAGTTGCAGACGTTCTGTAATCTCACTCCAGGGCTGTATTTTTTGTAATAAAAAAGTAGCCGTCACTTATTGCCATTGACAACGCGTTGAACTTGGACTTAAGGCCAAATTCATGTCTTATGTAGAAATTTGTCTTTTAAATCAGCAACTGAGCAACACATACTAAAACTATATAGCTTGTAAACGTTGCCATGCATCAGCAATAATGGCATTTCGGTTTTTATGCTCCTTGGCCATTAAGTTCCATAATAGTGATGCTGCTTGATATAGCTCCAAAAACTCTAACACTTTCTCATTTTCCCATACCGTCTCAGGCCGACGATATTTTGTAAAAAAAAAACAATGATTTTCACCACTTCACTCGCACGCCTTGCAAATAGACTAAATAAATTCGCGATTGTGTGGTCGGCAACACAAATATTGGCTCCAATCCCTTTGATCCGCGTCGCAAAAACCGATAACCAACGGACACTCCAACGTTGGCGCAACATTGGCTCCAAACACTAGTTACAGTTCAGTGGCTCCAAGCTCCAACGCTGTGTTGTCAATACACACATTGGACTAACGTTGTTGGCGCCAACGTTGGCTCGTGTGGAGCCGGCATTGGGCACGCCAAAATATTATGATTTAACGCAATCTACTTCTATACCAAGTTATGGAAGCTTAAAGTGCGGCCAAGTTTACTTAAACTATGTATATTATTATCATGTTTAATTGCGTGTTCTCATTTAAATCGATTTTCTTGAAAGTAATTTGCTATTTGTTAAAGTTAATTGAGAAATGCGAGGCCAACTAAAGTTTCAAGTTATTTTTGTATTAACATTGTCATATTGCATTGATTTAATTTTTAGTAAAAAAAAATTAAAATAAAATTTTGCATAAAATGAAAATAAAACTTTAGCATTTGCTCAATAGTACTTTTTTAATTATATTTTTAAATTGAAGATTATTCAAGGTTTTGAATTTATTATGGAGGTGATTATACAATTTAATACCTTATTGGTGATTGGTGAAAATTCGTATTTGGATGTTGTGTATGGGTATACTAAGTTTTTCAGTATTCCCAGTTACGTAAGTAATGAAGTATGATAACTTGTAAGCTTGAGAGTGGGTAACCCCAAAACCACCCCTTAAACTATTTCTATTAATTCTTACTCACCCTCAAATTAAGATTCATGAAGCGCCTAAATAATTTACCAAATATAGATTTTTTTAAGTTAAACGGTTGCAGAGATGTTAAATTTTTGGAAGTATGGCCCCACATTAGGCTTCCGTAACTCCTTAGAGGTAAATTGTGTTAAATCATCATATTTTGGGTGCCCAACTCGCACCTGTTCTGTGTCGGTCCTTATGCGGAATACCCTGTATATTGCCGCCCCTTGTTAAAAATATAATGAACAGAGTATACAAAATATGAAAAGCAATTCCATAAATTCATATTTAATTTTAACATGCCATAATTAACATTTTAGTTCATTTGTTATATTCTATAAGCAGAAATATGTTAAAAAGTTAAAGCGGTAAACAATAATAAAACCATGACGAAAAACTATATCATTAAATGGGAGTTGTGAGCGCCATGGAGAAAGGCGGGTATATTTTCCCAACAAGGAAGACCATATTTCTTTTGACCAAGAAGAAATCATGTAGATACACTCTTTTTTAGCACACGAAGTCTTATTTTGTTATGCTTCAGTAAAATTATGTATCGCATATTACATTTGCTGGACAATAATTGCGATTTGCTAGACAAATACAGCGTTTTGCTGGACAAATACGACGTTTTACTCTGTCCGTTTGCTGTACAAGATCAAGCTCTGAATGACTGAAAATACTGTACAATACAGCGAAATGCCGTACATAGACCATACCCTTATGCTGTACTTATGATCACCCTATTCCAACAACGATATTATATCGTATTGACCTTTGAACATAACTTTCCATTTCTGACTTTAGGAGAACAGTAATAAAATACAATGCTATTGAATAAACAGAAATAGAATAATACGTCGTAAACTACGGACCGCGCGTAATATCCATTCTTGCCATCGAAAGGGCGTGGTTAAGCCAATTACTTTGTTTTCCACATATGTGCTGTTTTTGTATTTATTTTTTTAGTATGTTTCTTCTTATTTGTATATTTTTTTTATATTATATTTTTTATAAACTTTCTTTGACTAGCTATAAACATTGTAATTAAAATGTAAAATAGTCAAATATATCTATTTTAACGTTAACGGGATGTATATTTTAAGATATCGAACGAATTGACAACGGCTGTTAGAGTTGGAAACTAATAAAAAACTGTTATGCTACATTTGAAAATCATATAATTTCGCATGTTGCTACCTTTATTTCCAAACTAAATTTTATTTTCGTCATTATTTCTATGGTTCGGACTGACATTCATCAATACCCCTATCCCATGTGAACTAGGAGAAATGAAAAAGGCCTTTATTATGAAGTGGTAGTAATAAGTTTAAACGGTTAGTTTGTTCTCAAAATTAATTTTATTGAGCAATCATATGTAGATAAATAGTTTAAACATATTAAAGTATTTGAATAAAATCTAACGATATGTGGAAGAAAATGTTATAAAATAAAATCTGTCTAACTTACCCATATATTGATATATTAATAGGATTAAATTTTACGGTTAGAAAATGAAATAATTTATAGAATTGAAGAAAAGAAAAAACAGTTAAAATACTTGCGATATCTAGAGAGTAAAATCGAATTAAAAACAACAAATTTTTATGTTGCTTATTCACGACCCCTATTCATAACTACCTGT